CTGAGCAGGACTCGCTGTCCGCGCCGCCGCGGACGTTGTTCATTGAAGACAGGAGCCACGCGCCCATCAGCGGCCGCTGTCGGTTTTGGACCACATTTGGTGTTGGTATTGTGCATGTTCTTCCGTGCCCATTTTGGGTGTCCATTTCCAAGACGTTTTAAGGTGTACATTAGAAAGCCCGAACAGGCTCTCTTGGGAGGCCGCAGGCAGGCCAACAGTTCACTCGAAACAACTCAAGGAAATTCTTTACGCTTCGCGTATCCCCACCAGCCCATCTCACAACAGCAACTCTTGCGAAGCATGCCGGCAGTCGTGTTTTTCAGGCGTGTGTCCGCTTGGCCCCGCATATCTCCCCTGTTCCTCCTTCCTCCCGCCTCCTTGTACATAGGACGAGGCGGAGGAGGAGGGAGAGAAAGCGCTCCTCGTGGTTTGAGTCGTTTGGGGTTTCTCGTCCTGGTGTGAGTCGTTCGGGCCCTTCTTCCTGGTGTGAGTCGTTCGGGCTCTTCGTGGTGTGAGTCGTTCGGGCTCTTCGTCCTGGTGTGAGTCGTTCGGGCTTCTCGTGGTGTGAGTTGTTCGGGCCCCTCGTCCTGGTGTGAGTCGTTCGGGCCCCTCCTCCTGGTGTGACTCGTTCGGGCTCCTCGTGGTGTGAGTCGTTCGGGGCCCTCGTCGTGGTGTGAGTCGTTCGGGCTCCTCGTCCTGGTGTGAGTCGTTCGGGCCCCTCCTTCTGGTGTGAGTCGTTCGGGCTCTTCGTGGTGTGAGTAGTAGTAGAGTGAGTCGTTCGGGGCCCCTCCTCCTGTTCCTCCTCGTGGGCTCCCCCAACAAGGTAGATGCAGAAATATAGAAGAAGAGGCAGGAGGAAGAAGACACAGGGGAGATGTGCGAGGGCACGCGGAGACACGCCTGAAGCACAGCACGGTCGGCATGCTTCGCTAGAGTAGTAGTGGTGGTAGTAGTATTGGTAGTTGTATTGTAGTAGTAGTAAGAATAGAAGTAGTAGGAGTACTAGTAGTAGTATGAGGTCCAGTAGACATAGTATGAGTATGTGTCGTAGTAGGAAGAGTAGCAGTAGTAGTAGTAGTAGTAGTAGTAGTAGTAGTAGTAGTAGTAGTAGTCGTAGTAGTAGTAGTAGTAGCAGTAGTAGTAGTAGTAGTAGTAGTAGTAATAGTCGTAGTCATAGTCGTAGTAGCAGGTCTAGGTGTTATAGATGGAGTGGTGACATGAGTAGTTGGAGGTGTAGTAGTAGTAGTAGTAGCTCCAGATATATTAGAAGTAGGACTCATCGTGGTACTAGTAACAGTATCAGGAGTAGTACCCGTACAAGTAGTAGTAGTAGTAGTAGTAGTAGTAGTAGTAGTAGTAGTAGTAGTAGTAGTAGTAGTAGTAGTAGTAGTAGTAGTAGTAGTAGTAGTAGTCGTAGTAGTCGTAGTAGTAGTAGTAGTAGTAGTAGTCGCAGTAGTCGTTGTAGTCGTAGTAGTCGTAGTAGTAGTAGTAGTAGTAGTAGTAGTAGTAGTAGTAGTAGTAGTAGTAGTAGTAGTAGTAGCAGTAGCAGTAGCAGTAGCAGCAGTAGCAGTAGCAGTAGCAGTAGCAGTAGCAGTAGTAGTACAAGTCGTGGTTGTGGTAGTACGAGAAGAAGTAGGAGAAGTAGCACGAGCAGTAGCAGTACCAGTAGCAGTAGCAGTAGCAGTCGTTCGGTCTCTTCGTGGTGTGAGTCGTTCGGGCCCCTCGTCGTGGTGTGAGTCGTTCGGGCTCCTCGTGGGGCCTCTTGGGGGCCTCGTGGTGGCCTCTGGGGGGCCTCTTGGGGGCCTCTTGGGGCCTCTTGAGGCCTCTTGGGGGCCTCTTGGGGGCCTCTTGGGGGCCCTTTGGGGCCGCTGAGGAGCCTCAGACGCCTCTTGGAGGCCTCTGAGGAGCCTCCGAGGGGCCTCTTGGGGCCATCTTGGAGCCTCCTGCGACCTCCTCAAAAGCGCCAATGAGAGCTGCCCCCTGAAAAGGACAATATGATGCCAAAACCTTCGTAAAACCAATAATTCTGCTATGAAGGAAGATGAGCGCGGCCTCCTCAGAACGCCCAAATGGGGCCAAAACCGTAGTAAAATCAATGATTGTTGGTTCCAAGAAGAGCAGAGGGGCCAAACTCTGTCCCCCCGTCGGGGCCAGAATCCTCGTGAGGGTCGTCGTTTTTTTGGCCCTCCCAGGAGTAGAAAAAGACCCCCCCCCAACCACCCGCGAAACCCCCACTCCAGGTCCAGGGGGAGGGGGTAGGGGGAGGGTTAAACCCCTCCCCGAAGGGGAAGAAGGGGGGTTGAGAACAGAGAGAGCTCGCTAAACCACTCACGCCCAAAGGGCTGGTGGGATTCCATCGTTTTCGCGTTCTCGCCTGTTCCGTCCCGACGGGCTGCTGATAGTTCCAAATGGGCTCCAGGAGGCACCCAACAGGCGCGCATTGCGCAACCCCCGCGACCAATCGCGCGCGCGTTTCTCCTAAGGTTTTGCGCATGAAGCGCGCCCACCGTCAGCTGCGCCCCCTAGTTCCATCGTCCATGGCCCCCCCCTGTCGCCGCCGAGTCGCGTGCGGTCGTGCTCTCCTGGGCAATTCGTGTCCATCCGTCCACGCACATACGCTGCTGCAAGACACCGCGGGAACATGTCATTATCATTTTTATTTCCAGTCCCCCCATCTGACCGCCCACCACCGTCGCGTACTCCCTGCTTCCTATGCATCTGGGGCGCGCGCGCACTTCGAGATTACCCGCGTCCTCTCGACCGCGAACTTCCCGACCTCAGGTCTGCGCGTTGCCGACGCTAGGTGCCCGCATATTCCCTAGTAGACCTCACACGCCGCACGCTCACGCACGTTTGCATCACCCCAAGATTTCACAGCGAGGCGTAACGAGCTTCACGTTTTGTACCTACGTATATGCAGATACGCATGCCATGTACTATATACACTTGTATGTATGTATGTATGTATGTATGTATGTATGGTCCAGGGTTTGGGCCCCCCCCCCCCAATGCTGATGCCATTGGGCCCCCCCCCCCCCGCGCGATGGTCCCCCCCGCCCCCCCCTGTGGGCGTGGCGTGGTGTTGCGCTGCGGTTCCCCCCCCCCCCCTGTGGATGTGGTGTGGTGCTGTGGTGGTTCAGAGGTGGGCGTGGCGTGGTGTTGCACTGCGGTGCCCCCCTCCCCCCCCCTGTGGATGTGGTGTGGTGCTGTGGTGGTTCAGAGGTCGTCGTCGTCGTCGTCGTCGTCGTCGTCCTCGTCGTCCTCGTCGTCCTCATCGTCCTCGTCGTCCTCGTCGTCGTCGTCATCGTCGTCGTCGTCATCGTCGTCGTCATCGTCGTCGTCGCCGTCTTCATCGTCGTCATCGTCGTCGTCGCCGCCGCCGCCGGCGTCGTCGCCGCCGCAGCCGTCGTTGTCGTCGTCGTGGTCGTCGTCGCCGTCGTCGCCGTCGTCGCCGTCGTCGCCGTCGTCGCCGTCGTCGCAGCCGTCGTCGTCGTCGTCGTCGTCGTTGTCGTCGTCGTCGTCGTCTCTGGGACCATACCATCTGGGGGGGGGGGCGGCCCGAGGAATCCTGGGACCATACCATCTGGGGGGGGGGGCCGTGGGCCCTCGACCCTGGATCATGTATGTATGTATGTATGTATGTATGTATGTATGTATGTATGTATGTATGTGTATATATATATATATACACATACCCAGGGTACAGGGCACGCATCCCAGTCCTAAGACCTTTTTTACTTTCCGTCTGTTTGGTGGGCCGTCTGGGGCCTCCGGGGCGCTCCAAGATGACCCCAATATCCTCAAGGAGCCCCCTCAGAGAATCGCAAGGCGGACCAAGCGACCTCCAGGCAGCGTCAGGACGCCCCAAGACGGTCCAAGATGGCGCCAAACTCGCTCAAGAGTCCCCCAAGAGTCTGAAAAGAGCTTCACGAAGGCCCCGAGTAGCACTCACGACAGCTTAAGAGGCCTCAAACCGAGCCCCAAGAGGGGCCCAAGGGGGGGAAAGCGAAGGGGCCTTCGGAGCCTTTTCCCACCAAGGTGGCCCCGAGGACCCCAAAGAAGCCCCCAAGAGGGCCCAAGAAACCCCAAAGACTCCAATATGGCCCCACGAGGGGCTGTAGAAGGCCACCGGACGCCACCAAGAGGCTTCACAGGCCCCCCAGAGTCATGCCAAGAGACCCCGAGCGGCATCCAAGAGGCTTCTGACCCATGGCCCGAAGGCCACTCAATAGCCACATTGTTGCGAAAAGAGATGGCGCGAGTGAAAGGGTGGCCTTCTACTGTTCAGGCAAAGCTTATGAGACAGCCTCCAGCCTCTGAGTAAACAGTGTTAGAAGCCTCGGGTGCCCCTTGGGGGCCCCTGTCTTCTCAGCAGGACGCCCCCCTCGCGCTGCGGCAATCCAGGGGCCAGCGACTCGAACAATTTATTCGTTGGCCCGCGCGCAAAATGCCACCTGAAAACAGAGCGCGTGCGCGACAATTTTGAGGATGTTTGCATATATGGCAGGGCAAATGCACATTCTCATGCGCCTGTTCTCCGAATGCGCAGTCATATGCGTGGGCCCGCACGTCCCGTCCACATGGTTCAGATCCCAGTGGGCCCGTGAGCGCGTGGCCCCTCCGAGAGTCTTGCCCACTTGGGCCCCATCATCCAGAGGATCCCACCCCCATGGCTTCGGGCCCTGTCCATGGGGTGCCGCCACTGCGGTCCCAGTCCTGGTTGCCCTGCTCTGCATGGTGTCAGGGAGGGGGATCGGGAACCGACTTTGAAATGACACTGGCAGTACAGGAGAACATGTTGATCACGAGGCGAGTGTGAACGGGCCCCCTGGCGAATGCCGCCTCTGCCCTCTGCCAGTGCTTCCTGACCCTTTCCTGCCAGATCGCGCTCCGCGCGCGGGCTTGAGGCATGCTATCTGCATGCTTCCATTCCTAACGCGCGCGTGAAGAGGGACAGGAGGGGATCGAGTGTCGCTCAAAAGGGCAGCTGGCCAGAATCCATGGAGGAGCTGGCCGAGGTTCCTGGCCTGGGCGGCTGCTTGTCGGCGCTCAGCGAGGCGGAGCTCACCCAGGCGAGTGCGCTGGTCAAGGCCGGGCAGGCGGATATCTTCGCCGCCTGGCCCCCCGCGGGGCAGGCCGACGAAGAGAAGCGAGCATTCTTCGAGCAGGCGAGGACCCTTGATGCTAACTACCCTGGCGGGCTGGCGCAGTACATCTCGAGGAGGAGAAGACAAAACAAAGCATGACGTTTCGGAGAACTGCGCGTTTTTGTTGGGGGATCGGCGCCCGGCCACCATATGGCGGTGCCTCCAGCGTCCCCCTCGGCGCGCGGATGGCGCCAAAGGAGGTGGCGGGCAGCGCCAATCCAAGAAATCCAGGCGGACCTCCGAAAGTGTATGTTTCCGTTGTGGTCTCTTCCTTCAGCATTTCCAATGCCCGGAAGCTGCTCGATGCCGCGACCAAGGGCGAGAACAGCCTAGACGGCTGGAGCCCCTCGGTGCCCAGCACTGGCGTGGACCTGGCCGTGGGTAGCGATGCTTGTTGTCTCCTCGAGCGGCGCGGGCTCGAGGAGGTCGCGGCTTGCTGCTTTGTGATCCCCGCGGGGGGCCTGGGGGAGCGGTTGGGCTTCAACGGGGTCAAGTTCGCGCTGCCCGCGGAGGCACTGTCCGCGGTTCGGTCGACTCGAGTGCGTGGCAGTCGGTTGCGTCGCAGTCGGTTATGTTCGGTTCGATTCGGTTCGGCTCGGTCTGTGGTTGTGTCGATGCTGCGTCGCTGCGCCCTTCCTGGCTGCTTGCGGCCCGTCGGGTCTGGTCGGTTTCGGTGTCGTTGTCGGTTCGGATTGGTTTCGGTTGTCGCCGCGGATGGCCTCGGGAGGTGACCAGCGGGTGGTGCGTGCTGGAAGTCTACGCCGCATACATCCGCGCCTTCGAGGCGTTGAGCTCATCGCGGGCTGGTCCGTGCCGGCTGCCCCTCGTCATCATGGCGAGCGCGGACACGGCCGAGGGCATCCGCAGGTTGCTGGCGGAGAAGTCCTATTTCGGCCTGTCCGAATCCCAGGTTACCATCCTTCTGCAGGAGAAGGTGGCTGCCCTCGCCGACAGCTCAGCGCGGCTCGCGATGGAAACGCTGTACAAGATCGCCACCAAGCCGCATGGTCACGGCGACGTCCATTTCTTGTTGCATTCGTCTGGGCTGCTGGAGCGCTGGCTGGCAGAAGGCAGGAGGTGGGTTTATTTTTTTCAAGACACGAACACCCTGTACCTAGGCACTCTGTTGTCGACGCTTGGGGTGTCTGCCACCCAGGAGCTGGAGGTGAATTCCGTGGCCATGCCTCGCCGTGCAAAGGAGGCCGTGGGCGCCATTGCAAAGCTAACGCATGTGGACGGCAGGTCCATTGTCGTGAACGTCGAGTATTTATCGGCCTGCGGCACACTCGGCCGCCGTCCTGGTTGCCTCCAAGGGGTCTCAGGAGCCCCTCTCTTTATTGCTTGGGGCATGACGGGCGTCATGGCCACCGCCCCCCCCCCCCTATGACGTAACGCTCCCCCCCCAGTGCGCTCCTGGCTCTGCCGCCGTGCGCATTGGGATCCGCGTAGGTGTCCGCGTAAGAATCCGCAGTTTTCGTCGTCGTCGTCGTCGTCGCTCGTGGCTTGTCGCTCGTCACTCCTAGTCGTCGTGCGCGCGGACGCGGCTGAAGCCTGTTCTTGATCCGTAAGGGCTTCGCCCCATGCCGCCGGCCCCCTGTCTCGGATAATGGGAGATGCAAAAGCTAAATCATGAGGTCTGGGCGCCGCCGTGAAGCAGTGTCGGGACTTGTTTGTATTTCGACCCTGACCCCCCTATCTGCGTGAGGGGTGCCACCGAATTTCAGAAATGTGGCGCATCCCCTGTGTTTTTGGACCCTGGCCCCGCCGTTTTGCGTGAGGGGTGCAAGCAGATTTTAGAAATGTGGCACATCCCCTGTGCTTTTGGACCCTGGCCCCGCCGATCTGCGTGAGGGGTGCCACCGGATTTTAGAAATGTTGCAAATTCTATTGCTTTTATTGACCCTGCACTGCGGATCTGCGTAAGGGGTGATACCGACTTTCAAATATGTCGCACATCCCCTTGATTTTGGATCCTGGCCCCACCGATTTGCATAAGGGGTGCCACCGGATTTTAGAAATGTGGCGAATCCCTCGTGTTTTTGGACCCTGACCCCGCCGATCTGCGTGAGGGGTGCCACCGAATTTCAGAAGCGTGACACATGCCCTGTATTTTTGGACCCTGACCCAGCCGATCTGCGTGAGGGGTGCCACCGAATGTCAGAAATATGGCACATCCCATGTGTTTTTGGACCCTGACCCCGCCGATTTGCATGAGGGGTGCTACCGAATTTGAGAAATGTGACACGTCCCTTTTGTTTTGGGACCCTGACCCCGCCGATCTGCGTGAGGGGTTCCACAGAATGTCAGACATGTGTCAAGTCCGCCGGATGTTAGAAATGTGACACTTCCCTTGTGTTTTTTGGACCCTGAAGCCGCCGGTCTGCGTGAGGGGTGCCACCGGATTTTAAACATGTGGCGAATCCCTTCTGTTTTTGGACCCTGACCCCGCCGATTTGCCTGAGGGGTGCTGCCAGATTTCAAAAATGTTGCAAATCCCTTGTGTTTTTGGACCCTGACCCCGCCGATTTGCATGAGGTGTGCTACCAGATTTTAAACATGTGGCAAATCCCTTTTGTTTTTGGACCCTGACCCCGCCGATTTGCATGAGGTGTGCTTCTGGATTTTAAACATGTGGCAAATCCCTTTTGTTTTTGGACCCTGACCCCGTCGATTTGCCTGAGGGGTGCCACCGAATTTGAGAAATGTTGCTAACCCTGTGTATATATATATATATATATATATATATATATATGTATTGTCCCTGACCCCGCCGATCTGCGTGAGGGGTGCCACTGAAGGTTAAACATGTGGCAAATCCTTTGTGTTTTTCAACCCTGACCCCGCCGATCTGCGTGAGAGGTGCAACCGAATCTTGAAATTGTAGCGCGTCCCTTGTGTTTTGGGACCCTGGCCTCGCCGATTTGCGTCAGGGGTGCAACCGAACTTTAAACATGTTGCATATCCCCTGTGTTTTTGGGCCCTGGCCCCGCCGATTTGCGTGAAAGGGTGCCACCGGATTTCAGAAACGTTGCAAATCCTATGTTGTTTATTGACCCTGCACTGCGGATCTGCGTAAGGGGTGCCACCGGATTTCAGATATGTGGGACATCCCCTTGATTTTGGACCCTGGCCCCGCCGATTTACATTAGGGGTGCCACAGAATTTCAGAAATTTTGCAAATCCATTATGTTTTTGGACACTGGCCCCGCCGATATGCGTGAGGGGTGCCACCGAATTTCAGAAACGTGACGCATGTCCTGTGTTTTTGGACCCTGACCCTGGCGATTTGCATGAGGGGTGCTACCGGATTTCAGAAATTTGGCACATCCCTTGTGTTTTTGGATCCTGACCCCGCCGATTTGTGTGAGGGGTGCCGCAGAATTTCAGAAATGTGACACGTCCTTCATATGTTTGAACCCTGACCCCGCCGATCTGCGTGAGGGGTGCCGCCGAATTTCAAAAATGTGGCAAATCCTTTGTGCTCTTGGACCCTGAACCCGCCGATCTGCGTGAGGGTGCCACCGAATGTCAGAAATGTATCAAATCCCTTGTGTGTTTGGACCCTGACCCGGCCGATTTGCCTGAGGGGTGCCGCCAAATTTGAAAATGTTGCACATCCCTTGTGTTTTTGGACCCTGACCCCGCCGATTTGCATGAGGTGTGCTACCGGATTTTAAACATGTGGCAAATCCCTTTTGTTTTTGGACCCTGACCCCGCCGATTTGCCTGAGGGGTGCCACCGCATTTGAGAAATGTGGTAAATCCAACTTGTTTTTTGACCCTGACCCCGCCGATCTGCGTGAGGGGTGCCACTGATGTTCAAACATGTGGCACATCTTTTGTGTTTTTGGACCCTGACCCTGCGGATCTGCGTGAGGGGTGTTAATTTTTACCCCCCAGAAACTTTAAGAACCCTCCCAGGGCGTGGTAGTTCTGCTGGTTTGGGCTCCCCCCCCCTCCGCGCGTTCATCAACAAGGAACAGTCAGCAGCAAGAAGCAGAACCGTAACAGTGGAAACTGGAAGCTGTAGTGTGGCACCTGGAGCAGCACATTCCCGGCCTACAGCCTGGTGGCCCCGTAAGGGGGCCGGCGGATTCCGGGCCGATGATGGCAATCATCTAGGAGGGGGGCTTGAGGGGGTCGATGACGCCACGTTTCGCGCCGGCGGCGTTTGGGAATGCGTGGGAATGACGGAGGACGAGTAGCGCCAACATGTAGGTGGCGATTTGCACCACAACGCCTGTGTACACCACAGTGCCTGCGTGCACCACAGCGCCTGTGCACACCACACCGCCGATGTACACCACAGCAGCCGCGTGCAACACAGCGTCAGTTTCTGCTACCGTGCCTGCGGGCACAACAGCTCTTGTGCACACCACAGCGCTTGCGTACACCACATAAACCGTGCGCAACACAGCACCATTGCACACCACAATGCCTGCGTGCATTGCAGTGCATGTGTACACCACGGCGCCTGTGTGCACCACAGCAACCGTGCAACACAGCACCACTGTTGTATATAGCATGTTAGAACGAATCCTCATGACAACATGGAGCGCTTGCGGATTCCACAGAAAACCACAAAAAGCAATCCGTTATGGACAACGGAGCGCCGCTGGAATCTACGCGTCCTCCCGAGTCCGCCCGCATCGCCCTAACTCCTCCCATTTGCGTCCAGGAGGCTCCAGCTAAATTGGCCGTCCGAGAACCAAGAGAACCGATTCAAGAGACCAGTCTGCCGTGCGCGCAGAGATGCGCACGTGCGCTGTAGCGCCAACCCGCACGACAGGGGGTAAGGAAGAGGAACAAAACCAGGAGGAGGAGGAGGAGGAGGTGGTGCAGGTGGAGGAGGAGGGAGGAGGGAAAAACGTCGCATTCGATTATCAGCACTTTCCTGGCGTGGCGTCCAGTTGTCCGCAGCAGATCCTCACGCACATGTTCCTTTTACTTGTCCGATGCACGCAGGCATTATGGTGTACACCAGCGTTGCGTTGCACGCGGATGCTGTGGTTTAGACACGCGCTATGACGTGCACAGGAATTACAATGCACGCAAGCATTATAGTGTACACAGGTGCTGTGTTGCACATGGTAGCTGCGGCGTGCACGTTTACACCGGCGCTGTAGTGTACGCAAGCATTGTGGTGTACACAGGCGCTGCGTTGCACACGGTTGTTGCGGTGTACGCAGGCGCTGTGGTATACACGCGCGCTGTGGTGCACGCGAGCGCCGTGGTGTACACAGGCTCAGTGGGACATATCGCCACCTACATGCTGCTCGCGTCGTCGTCGTCGTCTTCGTCGTCGTCGCTCGTCGCTCGTCGCTCGTCGCTTGTCGCGTCGCGCGCGTGGGCGCGGCTGCGGTGCCGGAGCCACACGGCGGGTGGGGGCGTTACGTCATACCCCCCCCGTCCCTCCCCCATGACGCCCGTCATCGCCGAAAATAAATAAAAGCGTTCCAAGCGGTTTTGGGTCGTTTTGGGTGGGCCATGACTTGGGCACCAAATTAGCCTTTTGCCCTGGCCGATGTCTGAGAGCGCAATGGCAAACTTGCGTTCCAGCACTTTTGGCGTATGGGAGTCTTGCGTGGAGCGCCCGACAGCGCCCGAAAATTCTGGCCCTTTGCGGGGCCAGTCTTGCAGGAACCGACAGGCCCCTCTATCACCCATGACAGCGTGAGCCTCAGGGTGCTCCGCTGCGTGCTGCAGGGCACGGTGGCGGACAACCAGTTGGAGCCTCTGCTCGTCTCCACAGGGCACCATGAGGGCGACACCAATGGGGCAAACGGCTTCTCATCCTACCCGGGGAACCAGAACGGTCTCGTTTTCTCGCTGCCTGAGTATGTAGAGACCATGCGCCGCACTGAAGGGCACCTGCCAGAGTTCATTAACCCGAAGTTTGCGGACGAGACGCGGACGGCCTTCAAGAGCCCAGCACGTCTGGAGTGCATGATGCAAGACTACCCGAAGGTACTCTCCTCGAGCGCGCGCGTCGGGTTCACGCGGTATCCGCTGGAGTTCGGGTATTTCCCTTGCAAGAACGACATAGCAACCGCGGCGAGGCTGTCGGCGGCTGGGGTGCCGCCACACGGCGCCGCGTCCTCAGATCGAAAAGCGAACATTACATAAACATGATTTTTCGGAGATCTGCACGGATGCTGGGCCCCGATCTGGCGCGAAGGGCGCGCCAGGGGCGGCGCCGGAGGCGCCGCCAGGGGCGCCCGGTGCGGAGTTCAGAAAGGTCATGTTTATTCCCCAAACAGTGCTTGTAGTTAGGGGTTCGCATTTGTCTTTAAGGAATTGGGCCGGGCTGGCGGTTTGGTCGCTCCGTGCTCGCCGTCGCCGCCCCGTCGCCGCCTCGTCGCCGCCCGTTCTATCGACCTGGCTGGCGGTCTGGCGGCTATGTGCTCGCCGTCGCCGCCGCGTCACCGTCTCGTCGCCGCCTGTCGTCTGGGCGACCTAGATTCTCCTTTTTGAAATTCCCAAAGAGTATTAGGATCCTCCCCCCGGAATTAGCAACCCCCGTTTGTTTTCGTATTATTGTTTCCCTATGATGTTGCCCCATTGCCCACCCTAAACATGAACGCGTACAGTCCCAGGCAGTCCGGTATCGGCACATCCCTTTTTCATCTTTTGGCAAATTTAATTGTAAGCGTGCACGTTCTCTTATCAATAACCCACAAGTTTAACCATAGTTTGCAACGGCGACGCGATGTGGATACGCGCGCGTCGTCGCGCGCGCATGCAGACACCTTTTTCCAAGTTTTTGGTGTCGTAAGGATTTCAGAATCGAATATCCCGAAACCATATAACAACACACGTGGCTTTGCAAACAGTACTTGCAAACAAAAAACAGCTTGCGTTCGGGCTCTTGAGAATCCCGGACCTAAAAACATAGTTTTGCTACTTACCAAATCGGCCGTTCGCCCGCGCATGTCGGAATCGCTCGAACGGCGTGCTGACGCAATAATCCCAAGCAGCACATGGGACAAAGTGCGCACGCGGGCGTCGTCGCGCGCCAGCGGAGGTCGTTCCATAACCATCGGTTACGTAGGGATTATAAAATCAACTGTCCCGAAAACGTATACATCCACTGCTTCGCAACACCAGTTTTCAAACATGCCTTTGCTCGCGTTCCTGTGAATTCTAAGGGGGACCAGCAGTTTTCCCCAGCATGTGCATTGAATTTGGCCAAAGCGGGCCCCTTCGCGCCGCACGTCGAAATCATTCGAACGCCCTTGCGCGCGTGTTGGGGCGGCACGATCCATGTCAAATACTACCATGCGGGCCGCTTTCGCGCGTCGACCGCGCGCGCATGTCCAAGTTTTTCCAGCAACTGAATCCGGGGGCGCCGTCATTGTCGTCGGCGTGATCAGCATCGGCGCCGTCACTGGCCTTGCCGTCGTCGATGTCGCCATCGTCACCAGCATCGTTCTACCATCATCATTGCATCCCGTCGGCGTTGCCATGATGCCGCGCTCGCCCAAGTCGCCGACTCGCACTGAAGTGCCCGCTGGGATGTGCCCAGCGGTCAGCGCCACCGCGGCCGCGTCGGTAGCGTCAAACCACCTGGCCGCTGCTCGCGCGAACATGCGCGGGCCATCGCGGCCCAGACATGCACCAGCCAACTCCAAGCATTTATCGCAATCGCCGCCGCGTTGGTTTTGCAAACCAACGGGTGGGTGGGTGGGATGGTTGCGCGAGCAGTGGAGTGGACAACACATAGCGAGCAGAATTACTCGCACCACATAGGTGACAAAACAGTGACGGCACCCAATCGACTGCCCAACATTGGGTGCATTACGTCGATTGCGCCACATCGGTTGCAGTGATTCATTTGCACCTCGTGAGTCGCACCACGCAACATGCAGCAAGCCGTTCTGGCTCAGGGTCTGAGCTTGCGACAGCAGTCTTCAGAGCGGCAGTCGCTGTCGCGTGCCTTTTTTGCTTGTGCAGTTTTGGGGTAGTTCAAACCCCGCAGTCTTCTAAGTCCTCCGCCGTGAGGCATCCATGGATGGTGCGGTGGTCCAGGGGCCCAAGAGGCCTTTCTGGGGCTGCCAGCAGTGTGGGCTCACGTCGAACTGGGCGTGCCGGCTGCGCTGCCGCTGTGGCGCCAGCGCCCTGCAGGCGGTGCTCAAGCGGGTGCAACAGGCTGCAACAGGATCCTGGCGTTCGCGGTGCTCCTCGCGGCATTGGTGGCGGCGCCCGACCCCCTGCCGTCGGCTCGAAGCGTGAGCAGAGGCTTGAGAAGCAAGACCAGGAGCTCACCAAGCGGGTGGAGCAGTTCGTCGCTGGAGGTGCCAAGGCCTCGGCCCAACAGGGTGGAGGAGGCGGTGGACCTGCAGCTGCAGCCAAGGATGACAAGGAGACGGAGGATCCACTGCGCGCGGAGGCTGCTCAGTTGGAGCTGGCCATCGCAGCGTGCAAGAGCGAGTCGGCATCGGCGGCCAAGGCTATCCTGGAGGAGACCCTCCGTGGAGTCAGGGCGCAGATTGAAGCTCGGAAGCCAGACCTCACGCAGCACAACAACGTGGGGCACAGGCTCAACAGATGTAAGGCCCGTCTGGCCAAGGTGGAGTCTGAGGTCGCAGACATTAGTAAGAGGCTGGACGATGTGCAAAAGGAGGGGAGTGAGTTGGTGCAGAAGCGCGACAATATTCAGAACGAGTGTGCGGAATTCCAACGACAGTTGGTTTCTACCTTGCCACTCGGCGAGTCGACGGCGGACGACACCTTCGGTGTCCCGCAGGAGCTCCTGGATGGCAACGCGGAGATCAAGGCTATGGTGGATTCCGAGCCGTTCAAAGAGTTCGCCAAGCTTTTTCGACTACATGTTACATCGGGTGCTCAGCGGCCTGGGACACCCGCGGCACCGCCTGAGGCAGCGCCGGGTGCACGCGTGGACCAGCCTGTGCCTGCGGACGACGACGAGCTCGACGACATGTTCGTTGAAGAGCAGGCGGCTGATGATTTCTGGGAGAAGCACAAGGGTGACAAGAGGGCTATCCTGGAGGCGATCATGGGTGCCAGAGCGAAGCTCCCAAGACGTCGCAGCTTTGACACCAAGGATTGTGTAGAGTATAACATGCACCGGAGGTGGTGCATCGATGAAGAAGGTATGTTTTTGTTCGATTGTTGCTTTTCGTGTCTCTGGCTTGTGCAGTTTGATTATCGAGTGATGCAGGCTCTTTGGTTTCTTCTGCAGTGGCTTTGTGAGCAGCAGTCGGATGACCTGCGCATGGAGCAGAAGTCCGATGACGTGCCTCTGCCGCCAGCGCCTGACGACGGCTTTCATGACCCCAGCGGAGTGTGCTCGCGTGGGGTAGCATGTGACGTCGTGCCGAGATGCACGGGTTTTAAGTTGTCTAAGCATGGGGTAGGCTGTCCGCCGCGAGCCGCCCCCCGCGTCAAAGACATTGATACGTCTCATGTTTTTGAAAGTTATAATGCGAACAGCTGGGGCACACTTAGGAAGAGGTTAGCGTCGACCCAGGCCCTCGTGTTGTGCGCTCAGGAAATCGGCTTTGATGATGATCGATTGGGGGAGCGAGTTAGTTCAGCCAAGGCTATGGGATGGAACCTGTTTTGCTCACCTGCCGTGGCATGTGCTCAGGGACAGACTTCCGCTGGGGTCGCCATCTTCGCCAGAGTGACTGTTGGACTAAGGTGGCCAGACTTTTTGCCTCGAGGCATTGCAGTAGAGCACAGGCTAGTCTTCGCCATGGTCGATATCCCCAAGTGCCCCCCCCCCCCCCCCCCCCATTGGTTGGTAGTGCGTATCTGTACACAGGCGAAGGCCTAAGCCCACGTCGCTTGCATATCATACGCATGGCAGGTCAGATCATGGAGGGGGCGCACCTTGCGCTGCTGGGGGCTGATTGGAACTTCAGCTCAGCATGTTTGGAGATGTCTGGCATGCTGCGGCGCGCGGGGTTGCTGATCATGCAGCCCGAGTCCACCACGTGCGTCACACCGCAGGCTAATACCAATATTGATTTTTTCTCGCGTCCACGGCCTTCAGCAAGCTGGCGCAGACCGTCAAGGTCGACCGAGGCCCCACCACCCCGTTCAGCTGCATCCCAGGCCTGGGGCGGTCAAGTTGCATCAGTTGGTGTGCACTAGCCACCAGAGGCTCCCCACTGAGCTCCCGTTGGGACATAGCAATCGTAGTGCTGATTGGTCGGAGGCGCGCAGACAGGCTGAGCAAGCCAACCTCGTCGCCAGTGACCAAGCGGTGGGCGCCGCGTGGGCTGCGCTGGACGTCGCTTGGAAAGCTTTCTCGGATGCCATGGAGCTGGAGTTGGAGAGGAAGTTAGATACCCCTGTGCGTAAGAAGGGAAAGAAAGGGCTCCCTTTGGTTCCCCAGTGGGCTTCGGCTATGGTTCCCCCTAAGAGAAAGGAGGCAGATGGGGTCCGTGTCTGGGTTGGTTGGGTCTGGCTGCAGCAGTATTCTAAGGACTTTCTCAACGCTAGCCAGAGGCTGGTGGTCCAGATGAATGCTTTAGTCGATCAGTCTGATGTCCAAGCGGCATGCAACATCGCTGATATTGTTGCGCAACCTTTCGATGCCGAAGGTCTCTCGGCAAGGCTTGATGTTACCGTTGCCAAGGCCCGTCAGGAGATGGCCGCGTGGCCGCGCTCCTTGCACGGCCTGGCTGACTGGGTCGACCAGATTGCCGAGCTTCTGGCGGGTTGGGAGGGGGACTTCATGGGGGCCCAAGGTTAAATGGGAGCCCACGGTGACCGAGAAATCTCCTTGTTTTTACGTCGGACCCGCGTGTTTTGTTGGCCAAGGAGGCTGAGATCCTCGGGATCTTTTGGCATGCGTCCTTTTCCCCTCCTCCCGTCGAGGTGCCTGATCGGCACTGCCTCGACCGCCTCAGCCCTGAGGCTATTCGTTCGGCGGCCAAGAGCTTCTCGCCGCACGCGGCTCAGTCCCTGGACGGGGTGCACGTGCGGCACTTTGCTTTTCTCTGCGACGAAGGGTTGAATACCCTCGCCTGCCTGTTTCAAGCGTCGGAGAAGTTGGGATTGTTCCCTCGGGCTCTGTACTGGATGCTGTTTCCCTTGCTCGAGAAACCCAAGGGTGGTCTTCGTCCGATCTTGCTCTGCGCTGCCCCTGTGCGTTTGTGGGAAAGGTTGAGGCGAACCCACCTCGCCCCGCTCAGCGACACTCACCCCAGGAGATACTGGGCCTTCGGTGCGGGGAAGCCGGCGGAAGCTTGCGTGTGGGGCCAGGCCGCCAAGGCGGGCGCCCAGGTGGAAGGCGGTGGAGTCACGGCGGGGTTCTCTTGGGATGGCACTATAAGTATCATGAGTTTTGACCTCCAGAGACTTCAGGAGCGCAGCCTGGAGGTCGGGCTCGAACCAGTGATCAGCAAGATGGTTTTCAATGTTTGGCGTGGCCCTAGGATCTTAAGGTTAGGCGCCGACCGCAGCCTGGCGGTGCAGTATGCTAGCAGCGGGCTACCTGCTGGGTCGTGCTTCAACGATATTTTTGTGCGGGTATATGCCATGAAGCCGTTCGATGGTTTCGTGAGTCGGAACCCTAGCGTGGACCTGTCCTCTTACATTGGCGATGACACAGTCAGCTGTTGTGGCACGAAGGAGGCTGTCATCGAGTCGCTAGCGTCTGCGGCGTCGGATTTGCACAGGGTTTTCATCCAGGAGCTCGGGGTGAATCTGGCTCCTGATAAGTTGATGACGTTTGCTTCGGACCCTGACACTGCTCGTCGCCTAGGGATTTGGCTCGGAATCCTGGCGGGGATTGTGGGAACGCACGCGGTGTCCTTGGGATGCGATTTGGCCCCTGGGGGCAAGCGTAGCAGGAAGGGGCATCTCTCCAGGAGGCGCAAGCGTTTCCAGGACATGGTCAAGCGACATCGTGGTCTGAAGCGTTTCCAGCGGGCTTTGCCAAGGGATCGGGGGCGCATCGGAAAAATACACGGCTGGTGTGAAGCTAGCTCTCACGTTTGGGGACACAATTGTGGGCATGACTGATGCCGAACTCAGACGTGCGAGACGTGTTTTGCTGTCTTTTCAGGCCCCAAGGCATGCTGGAGTTTCTATGCGTGCCAAGGTCGCCCTCGTGGGTGACCCGCTGTGGAGGAGCATGGTTGCACCAGCCATAGCGTGGGCCCAGGCGGTGTGGAGCGCCGTCACAAGGCCCAGCCAAGCTCAGTTTTCGGTCAAGGACCTGCGCGCGATGTGGAGGGAGGTCAAGCGGGAAGGACTCACTTGGGCTAAATCGCGTGGTCCGATCAGTAGGATGCACCTGTCTCTGGGTAGGATCGGGTGGACTGCGGTGAACCCCCTGCTTTGGATTGATGATAAGGGCGTTGAGCACAGCTTATTGTACACCACCCCCTCCATGGTGTGTTTCTTGTTGGAACGAGGTGTCCAGAGACACCATGAGAGAGTTTTAGCTGTAAAACTCGGGTGGCCCTCGGGGGCTAGGGTTTGCGTCGAGCCCTTGCGTCGGATCGTGAACCCTCGGGCCAAAGGGATTGGGTTAAGTGCCCAGGGGAAGTACTCGGTTAAGACTGCCTTTTGCGAAGGTTTGTGGACCGAGGATCGGGCCCGTAGTTCGGGGTGCCTTTGTTTAGGACTGTGCCCGCTTTGTCAGAGACCTGACTCGGTCAGGCATCGACTCTACGAGTGTCGGCACCAGGACGTGGTGGCTGCCCGAGAAGAGGCGGAGGTCTCGGCTGACTTCTGCCGTGAAGCTCTCGGCAGTGGCGATGCGCTACACGACTGCCTTAAGATGCTGCATCCGATTGACAGTTGGCCCAGTCTTAGTGATGAACATGAGCCTGTCTTGTATAATGGGGAGGGACAGGAGGTGGAGTGGGCGAGGTTTGACTGCACGGGGCTCTACCAGGCGGGGGATGGATCATGCATGCCACACTGTATCTCGGAGTTGTCCAGGGCTGCCTACTCTTGGGTCTTCTTCGATGATGAGGGCCACCAGAAGTACGTTGCGCGTGGAGTGGTGTGGCCCTCTTTGCCCCAGACTAGCCAGGCCGCGGAGCAGTTGCAGCTTGCCCTGTTGCCCATTTTCGTGCCGAGGCTGTCCTCTCAGTGTTACAGCGATTGCATGAATGCGGTCAGACTCCACAACAAGGGACCCAGCGAGCAAACCTCCCCGAAGCAAAGGTATGGAGGTCTCAGGCGAGGCGCCCTGGCCCACATGTGTGAAAATAAGTTTGCCCCAGCTGTTCACGCGCCTGCACGCCGCAAGCTCAAAGTGATAGATGAGCTGGCGCTACCAGAGCGCAGGATCGGCCAGGCCAACTGGCGAGCAGATCTAGAGGCCAAGAAGGCCATCGAGCTGCATGCACGGCCTTCGGAGGCCGAAGTTTTTCAAGTTGATGTGATCATCGACCAGATGCGCAAGCGCGCGGCTGATGGCGAGCGTGCTGCCGCTGTTTCCGCGTGCGTCTCACCAGCGGCCGCCTCGACGCGGGAGACCCACGAAGGTTTTCGACAAGGCCACGTCGCGGCACGCTTGACAGCGAAGCCTCTGGGGATTTCGCTGCACCAAGTGTCTGGCCTTCTTCGGAGGACGACAACCTGAGCGACCCGAGCTCGGTTGCGAAGGTTTCCCTGTGAGGGTGGCCGAGCTCCTCGTCTCCGGCCCCCGATGATGGACACAAGCTGGCGAGTACCCAGGTGGGAGAGGAGCCCAACCCCTTGTTTTTTTATGCCTGGCCTGCGGTGCGTGTTCCCAGCACAAGATTCGCAGTTTGGCCACCCGCTGCCATCCAGGTAGCATCCGATGCGGGGGCCAAGTGTTGTCTCGACTGCGCAGAGGACTTCATCCTTTGCGCGGCGTGCCTGTCTCCCGCGCTGAACCTGAAGAACAGGTTGCGAGGCAGGAGGCGGGCGTTGTCTTGCAGATGGCTCGCCGAGGCGAAGTGGCGGCCTCTGCTACTTTTCTGCCCTGCCTGGGCGCCATTCGTGCCCGCATAGCGGCGCGAGAAGCAGCGAGCAGGGCGGTGTGAACTGTCGCACTGTCATAACTGGTCGGTCAACTGTGACCCCCCGAAAAAACGCAACATGCAGCACTTAGATCGCTGTGGACATCCTAGGGATATTGCCCCATCGTCCATAATAAATGCGAAATCGCACCATCCCAGCCTAGCCGGTATCCCCCCCCCGCTATCCTTTGCAAGAAAAGGGCTACGCGCGCGAATTCGTTTATCACAAATCAGTTGTTGCCAAGAACCCCATGCCACAAACGGGACGAAGTGCGCGCGCGCGCGTCGACGCGCGCGCATGCCGAACCCCCATCAGCAAAGTTCTGTTTCGTAAGGGCTTCAGAATCGAGTGGTCCATTTTTTTTGTTTTTGAAAAGGCTTTGCAACACGGGTGCATGTCGAAATCGTTCGAACGCCTTTGCGCGCGTGCTGTCGCGAGAACCTTTTTGCCAACCATGTGAAGAAGTGGACACGCGCGCGTCGTCGCGCGCGCATGCCGAAATTCGTCAACAGTTTACAGTTTCGTATCGGCTGCAAAACCGAGCGTCAATAACCTTTATCAAACACATGGTTTGCCAACATCAGGTTTCAAGAAAAAAAAGACTTGCGCTCGCGCTCTTGCGGGTTCTTGAGAAAACTGTCGATTTTCACCATGCGCACTCAATTTTGTCAAGCGGTCCTCTCGCGCCGCACGCCGAAATCATTCGCACGCCCTTCCGCGCGGGCTGGGGGGGCACGATCCGTGTCAAATACTACCATGCGGGCTGCTCTCGCGCGTCGGCCGCGCGCGCATGTCCAAAATGTTCTAAATTGTTCGTCGCCGACGCGGCGGCGCCGTCATCGTCGTCGGCGCGATCAGCATCTGCGCCGTCACTCGCCGCGCCGCCGCCGTTGTCAACATCGCCACCAACATCGCTACCATCATCGCGTCTACCGTTATCAACGTTGCCATTGTACCGCCCCCGCCCAAGTCGCCGACTCCAATTGCAGTGCCCGCTGGGATGTGCCCAGCGGTCAGCGCCACCGCGGCCGCGTCTGTCGCGCCAAACTAGCTGGCAGCTGCGCGCGCGTGCTCGGGTTGGCGCGGCCGCAGAGATGCAACAGCAAACGCCAAACACTCATTGCAATCGCCGCCGCATGGGTTTTGCACACAAAGTTTGGGGTGGGTGGGTAGGATATTTGCAAGAACAGGTGGGATGTGCCAATTCGTTTGGAAAATGAATGCCCCCCCTTAGATAGCATCGCGTAGATTGTATCACATAGATCGCACAGCATATATTGTTCCACTCAGATGGCTCCACGTTATTGCGCCACTTGGGTTGTTCCACGTAGATTGTACAGCGTAGGTTGGCCCACATACGTTGCACCACGTAAATCACAACTCATGGAGTGCAGCACGGCATGGATTTGACAATGTAGACCGAGCCAGATAAATTGTGCCACGTCGATTGCTCCACAGGTTGCACAACATGTAATGCTAGACGGATTTCGTTTGGGGTCCATGCTGGTTAACATGTGGTTATGTGAGACCTTGACGAATCACGACCAGACCCCACGTCTCATCATTGCGCGCCAGTTTTCGAGCCACATCGATCAGGGATGGTCCTCGGGCATGAAGCCGGGCTAAAACGCTTGGTTTGACAAACATCTGCGCTATTGTTTTGCATGTTCCTAGGCGCCGCGTCTTCGGAGGCTGCGGTCTACCACGCCAACTGCACGCTGCTGCGGCTCCTCGGAGCGGACGTGGCGCCCCCAGAGTGCAGGACGTGGCGCGGCGGTACGCAGGAGGTGGGGCCCGCAGTGGTGCTTTCGCCCAGCTTCGCCCCATGCTTCTCCGAGCTGAGGTTAAAGCTGCCTGCACCTGGCAGGGTTCGGGGCTCGCGTAAAGGGGGTCCGGCCAGAGGTTCGAGGTTTTCATGCGTTTTCGTTGGATCACGGGCGTTTTCCGACCTCGGGGTGCTCTTCAGCAGCTGCGCCTCGCCGAGAGCGTTCCGGGGATGTCTTGCGTCCTGGACGGCTGCCCCTCTGGCTGACCCCGGTTTTGAAGCCAGGTGGGGCCGGTTCCCCTTTTCCGCTTTCTGTTGGCCCAGTTTTAGGAACCACGGCTGGCTGGGCTTCGCGGCAGGGCCCCGGTTGACCTGGGTTTGCGTGCCCTGGGTCAGTGCGTCCCCGACAGGTGCGAATCAGCCTGCGCTCGAACTTGCTGCTGGACGGCGATGGAATAGTTGTCGAATCGCTGGACCTGGACGGAGCCCTGACCGTGAAGGCCGCACCTGGCGTGCAGCTGCACATCCGTTGTGCCTCGACGGTGCGGAACGCGGGCTGTGAGTTTGTTGCGTTGACGGACGAGGAACAGCGGGGCGAGGCTCCAGAAGAATTGCGGATCCGCGGCTACCGGTTGGTGAGGCACGAAGTCAAGGAGGTTATCGTTGCCGACCCTGGCTTGTACGAGCTGACGGACGAGGGGCTTGCGAGACTAGACGCCAACGCCTAGCCAGATAGAGCAGACCGAACTAATACAGTTGACACAGCTTGTCCAAGCGCAAACGTCGTGATTCCTGCTAGGACGCCTGGATGTGGCCAGACCGCCGACGCCGACACTTTCACGTGGCGTGGGCCCCCCAGAGTTTTCTGTCGTGGTCGAGGGGACTTTCCTGGTAAGGGACTCTGGCCCAGGGTTATCTTTGTGCTGGAGGGGAGTGTCTTTCTAGACCGATGGGGTGTAACACGGGGTTCGGCGGAGTCTTCTCACAGACATGCCCGAGCAACATGCGACCACTTGTCTCCACTTCTTGAGGAGCTCTCATGTGGCTTCGATCCATCTTTGGGCTTTCCTGGAGGGCTGCCTGGAGGCATGTAAGAGCTCGTCGGAGGCCGCTTCCATCTTGAGGCCTTCTTGAGATGTGTTTCCCCCAATGTTTGTTTGCATAGGGATTTGTACTCGCTTGTGCAGAGCGAGTTCGTTTGTCGATTCAGGCTTTTGGCCAAGCGTTCGCGTTCATCTGTTCTCGTTCCTCGTGCCCGCAGCGTTCACCGCCTCCCTCTGATGCAGAGGAGAGACCACGCTGAAGGACACTGCACAACTCGTGGCTTCACACAGACTGCTTGTAGAACAAAACTTGTTTGTAAAGAGAGGTCGTCGCGCCCTGCCTCGGTGTTTCTTAGTCTTGTTCCCTTTCAGGGGCCGTCCTCGGGGATTCCCCGGTCTGGTTAGCTTGCAAGAGCCTTGGGTTCCCCGGGTTCCCCGGTCTTGCTCCATGCACTAATTTTGGTTCCTTGCTTGGATTCCTCGAGGTCCCTGGTCGTGTTTCTTGCTCGGACTCCTCGGGTGCCCTGGTCTTGTTCCGCGGGTTTCCCAGCTTGTGCTTTGCTTGGGTTCCTAGGGTTCCCGGTCTTGCTCTTCGGGTTCTCCAGCATTGCAAAGCATTGCTAAGCAATGCCAAGCAATACCAAGTAGTGGCAAGCCAATGCCAATTAATACAAAGCGACGTCGCGCAACACCAAGAAGTGTCAATACCAATCAACGCCATGCAACGCCGATCAGCGCCAAGCAATGCAAAGCAACGCCAATAATCGCCAAGCTTTGCCAAGCAACGCCAAGCAATGCACCCATGCAACAGGAAGCATTGGCCCATTGGGGGTCGCGCCTGGTTCATTTTCCAGTCCTGGAGCTCAGTGTGGCCGATTCGGGTCCCTCGTGGGGCCGTCTTGGGGTTATCATGGGCCGTCTTGGGTATATTTTGGAGGCCCTCAAGGACGTCGTCGGCTGTGCGAAGCCCGAACAGTCGAGAACGCGACACTGATTCAGCGGTTCTTGTGTGGTTATCGCGCCACTGTCCCGCGAAGATCGAACGAATAATTCGATAGATCGCGAATCCGACCCGATGCCAATCGCAAACAGAAGTCTGCACGCGTCCCCCAGAAAACCTCGCCTGGAAAGGGTCAGAGGTATGGAAGATCAGGCAGGGGGCGAGAGAGACAGAGGGGGAGAGAGAATGAGAGAGCGACAAACATACGTAAGACAGACACTGGATAGTTATACATAGAGAGAGGGGAAAAAGAGAGAGAGAGAGAGAGAAAGCGAGAGAGAGAGAGAGAGAACCAAAAAACGGACAGCGAGAGAGAGAGAGAGAGAGAGAGCGACATCGAGAGCGAGGAAACACAGAGGAAAGAGAACGAGAGAGAGAGAGAGAGGGAAAGAAGGAGAGAGAGAGAGAGAGAGAGCGAACGACAGAAAGAGAGAGAATCAGAGAGCTGGAGAGACAGCGAGAACGGGAGCAGCTTTCCCCTCGCCGCAGTTTTCCTCTCGCCGGCGGCCTCCCGCTCCGCCCCGGGACCCCTCGGCTCGCCGCGGCGGCGGGGCGACCTGCCCTCCGGGCGCCGCCCCTCCACCCCGGCAGCAGCCGCCGGTGGCAGGCCCTGGCCCCTCCGCGCCGCGCTGCCACGGCGGCGGCGGCCTCGGTGGCGGCCGCGGCGACGACGGCGGCACGGCGGCGGCCGCTGCCACGGCGGCGGCGGAGGGCCGGGGGCGCGCTCCTCGAGGAGGAGTTCAAAGCGGCACAAGCATGGGCTGTCGGAGATTTCGATGGTTGTCCGGAGGGCAAGCATCGAGACAGCAATCGAGGCAACCATCGGAGTTGCCATGAGACAACAACCATCGGGCCAATTGTCTGGACATTCATCTGGACAACCCCTGCGGCGCAATCATCGGAACAACCGTCGGGACGACCATTCGGACAATCATCGGGGAATTTACCTGGCTAACCATCAGGACAAACGTCGAGACAACCTGCCGTACATTGTCGTGGTCGTGAATACAATCTGCATAACCATCGGGAAAACCGTCTGGGCAAGCGTCGGGGTCACCATCGTGACAACCTTCGGGACACCCATCGAGGGAACCAACTATTCAAACATCATGTAAGTTCTAGACGCTTCGCGTATTCCTCCTGGTCGGCCAATTTGTCGCGGCCGCAGCCCGACCGTTACCCGCCGCCGCTGGCGCTTCCGCCCGCGGCTGTAAAACAAAAAAAATGTTCCTCCTGGTGCCTGCGCCCTTCTGAGCGGCAGTGAGGTTCGCCTCCTGTTTGTCTCTCCTGCTCGTTATTGTTTTTGCTCTCTTTTCGCTCCTCGGTCTCCTTGCGCGCTTAATTTAGGCCATTGCTTGTGTGCTACGCTCCCGGACGCCGCCCGAGTTTTTTCGCCGCGGTCGCGATCAAAAGTATCCGCACCAGCCCTTTTTTCGTTCTCTTCCTCTTTTCGCCTCCATTTCCCTGTGCGCTAATTTAGGCCGTTGCATCTGCGCTCTGTACCTTTACGCCGCCCGACCTTCTCGCCGCGGTCGCGGTCAAGAAAGTATCCGCACCAGCCCATCCAGAAACGATGTCTAGGCGAGTTGCGGTGGTCAAGGAAGCGCGGGAGCAAAAAGGGGGACGTCCGAACCGTGCGAAGGAGGGAGGAGGAGATGGAGGAGGCTGGATGAGGGAGTGGGGGGGAAGAGGATTAATTTAATCGTTTCGCTCATTCCGCCGGCCCGTATTGGTGCACGGCTGTCGAGTGCCCGTGTGGTCGTTGTCAACGGGGTGCTGCTGGGTCGTTGTTTTGTTTATGGATGGTTGGCTTTGGGTGATTTCGCAGGCGGTAACCATTCTATGCCCGCCTGCACCTTTTGTTTCGGAAGGTGGCGGCTCGTGAATACGATCGCAGGGAACAAAACAACATTCCGCAGTTTCCTTTTTGCTTTCTTCGGGCCCCTTGTCGCTTGCTGGGGCCTCTTAGGAGCCTCTTGGGCCGTCCGGAAGGCCTCTTGGGGCGGAAGGCTCGGATGTTCGGCTCGTGGTGTCCATCTTGGGCCTCTCTTGGGGCCCTCTTGGGGTCCTTTTGGACCGTCTTGGGCGCCTCTTGGGCTGTCGTGGGGCCCTCTTGGGCGGTCTTGGGATTCTCTTGGAGGCCTCTTGGGCAGTCTTGGGGTGGTCTTGGAAGCTTCTTGGGCCGTCTTGGAGCGTCGGAAAAGGCGAGAAGGCGAGGACGCCAAACACCTTGAAAAACCAAATGGAAATCAATGGTTTTGGCGCTCTGAGGCTTCGCGGACGTTCATTGGGATTTCGTTGGATGCCTCTCGAGGGCTTCTTGGAGATTCTCGGGAGTCGTTGTCAAGCCTCTTGGGGTCTCTTTCGGGCCCCTTGTCGCCTTTTGGGGCCTCTTGGGGGCCTCTTGGAGCCTCCAGGAGGCCTCTTGGAGCGGAAGGCTCGGATTCTCGGTTCGTGGTCTCCATGTTGGGCCCCTCTTGGGGCCCTCTTGGGGTCCTTCTGGACCGTCTTGGGCGCCCCCGTCGTGCCAGTACCTGCTGGCGCGACGGAGGCGTCGGCTCCCCGGGGCGCGTCTGCCGCCGTGAGCGCCGCCAACGCTGGTGGCGCCGCTGGCGATGGCTGCCCCGCCGCGGCCCACTCGCGCGCCCCTACCAGTGCCGCGGACGCAGCCGACGCCCTCGGGGGAGTCGGCGCCGTCCGTGCTCGGTGGCCCGCGCCCCGCGCCGCCTGCGCCGCCGACGCTGCCGACGCTTCAAGTGTTTGCGCAGTCGGTGCCAAGGGTACGCCCGACGCAGCCGCCGCTGCCGCCGCCAGTGCCTGCGCTGCTGCCGCCGCAAGGGCTGCGCAGGCCTCCCTCTGGACGACAGTTGTGGACCTGGCCAGGGCCGCCTGGCGCGCGGCGGACGCCGTCGCGAGCGCGCTCCCTGGGCGCAGAGTGGACCCGATTGAAGACAATCGCAAATCTGAGGTTTCGCCTGACGACTGCTGCAAATCTAGGTGGCGTTTCGCCTGGAGACAGTCGCAAATCAGCGGATATTCTGGAGTTCGCTTGTGACCAGGCGGCCGTTAGCTGCATCAGCCGCCAGGGAGACTTACAGACAAAGCGCGCAGTCGTCAGCAGCAGCAGCAGCAGGTCGGCCCTTCCTTCTCCCAGAGACAGGCAAACAGGCGGCCCTGCAGCTTCTCACTCCCATCAGCGCCCCAGGCACAAGGTCTTGGTGGAGGCCAAAGATGCCCCCGACAGCGCGCCCACTCCTGGCAACAGTCTCGTGGCGATAGTTGGGGGCGCTGCAGAGGGCGCGCCCGCGTTCGGGGACCTTCCCCACAACTTTGAGAGTCATCGGAACGTGCAGCCTTCAGCTGCAGCAGTCCTCTGGGAGAGCCTACAGACTGAACAGGTGGTCGTCTGCCACAGCGCGTCGGTCCTTTCCCCGCTTGGAGACAGCCAAGCAGGCGTTCCTACAGCTCCTCACTCCTATCAACGCCCCGAGGGCACTCTCTCTCTCTCTCTCTCTTTTTTTTTCTCTCTCTCTCTCTCTCTCTCTCTCTCTCTCTCTCTCTGTGTCTTTCTGTAGAAGCTGAAGATGCGGCCGGAATTGCGCCCCCTCCTGGCAGCAGCATCGCGGGGAGAGTTGGGAGTGGTGCAGAGGGCGCGCCCGCCTTCGGATACTTATTTCAAAATATTATAGCCTGAGTGCAGTATCCCCAAACAGGGTTTTTAGACCCACTGAGGTTTCCAAGGTCGATTGCGTGCCCGTCCAGTGCGGGCTGGCATGGCATGTTAAAACATGCCTCCTCCTCCTCCCCCTCCTCCTCCTCCTGCTGCTGCTGCTCCTCCTCCTCCTTCTCCTCCTCCTCTAGGTCCTCCTCCTCCTCCACTTCCTCTTCATCCCGAACGGCATCTCGGAGCCCAGAGTTGCGAGGATGTCTCCAGCGTAACTTGTTGGACCACCTCGCGCGCGGCATTTCGGACCCCAGAGTTGCGACGATGTCTCGGGCAAAACGTGTTGCGAGGAAGTCTCAGGCGAAACGGGCCGGACCACCTCGAGCGCGGCGTCTCAGAGTTCCGAGTTGCGGGGGCCTCCTGGGGCCTCTTGGGACCTCCTGGGGACCTCCTGGGGCTTCCTCCTGGGCCTCCTGTGGCCTCCTGGACCCCACCTGGGGTTTCCTGAAGCCTCTTGGGGCTCCCAGGGGGGGATATCTAACATGTGGCCGTCGGGCCCTTCCAAAATGAGGGGGGGGGGGGGGCACAAGAGCAGGACAAATCAACGAATCGGCACCGGATGTGTATTAACTTGACACGTTCCGAGAGGGGACCTCTTGGGAGCCTCCTGGAGCCTCCTGGGAATCTCCTGGGGACCCCTGGGGCCTGTCCTGGGCGTCCTGCGGCCTCCTAAAGCTCTCCGGGGCCTCCTGGGAGCCACATGTGTTCTTCTGGGCCCCCAGGCTGGACCACCTCTTGCGCAGCATCTGAGAGCTCAGAGTTGCGAGAATGTTTTGTGCGAAACAGGCCGGACCACCTTGCTCACGGCATCTCAGAGCTCAGAGTTGCGAGGGTGTCTCAGGCGAGATGGGCCGGACCACCTCGCGCAGGGCATCTCGGAGCCCAGAGTTGCGAGGATGTCTCCAGCGTGACGGGCTGGAACACCTCGCGCGCGGCATTTCGGACCCCAGAGTTGCGACGATGTCTCGGGCAAAACGTGCTGCGAGGAAGTCTCAGGCGAAACGGGCTGGACCACCTCGAGCGCGGCGTCTCAGAGCTCCGAGTTGCGGGGGCCTCCTGGCGCCTCCTGGGGCCTCCTGGGGACCTCCTGGGGCTTCCTCCTGGGCCTCCTGTGGCCTCCTGGACCCCACCTGGGGCTTCCTGAAGCTTCTTGGGGCTCCCAGGAGGGGATTTCTAACATGTGGCCGTCGGGGCGCCCCCAAATGGGGGGGGGGCACAAGAGCAGGAAAAATCAAAGAATCGGCACCGGATGTGTATTAACTGGACACGTTCTGATAGGGGGCCTCCTGGGGCCTCCTGGGAGCCTCCTGGGAATCTCCTGCGGACCCCTGGGGCCTGTCCTGGGCGTCCTGCGGCTCCTGAAGCTCTCTGGGGCTTCCTGGGGCTCCCAGGGTCCCAGGGGGGATATGTAACATGTGGTCTTCTGGGCCCCAGGCTGGACCACCTGTTGCGCAGCATCTGGGAGCTCAGAGTTGCGAGAATGTCTTGTGCGAAACGGGCCGGACCACCTTGCGCACGGCATCTCAGAGCTCAGAGTTGCGACGATGTCTCGGGCGAAACGTGCTGCGAGGAAGTCTCAGGCGAAACGGGCTGGACCACCTCGAGCGCGGCGTCTCAGAGCTCCGAGTTGCGGGGGCCTCCTGGCGCCTCCTGGGGCCTCCTGGGGACCTCCTGGGGCTTCCTCCTGGGCCTCCTGTGGCCTCCTGGACCCCACCTGGGGCTTCCTGAAGCCTCTTGGGGCTCCCAGGGGGGGATATCTAACATGTGGCCGTCGGGCCCTTCCAAAATGGGGGGGGAGGGGGGGGGGGGCACAAGAGCAGGAAAAATCAACGAATCGGCACACGGATAGAGCCTCCTGGGAACTCCTGACACGTCCTCTGATATGGGGGGGCCTCCTGGGGCCTCCTGGGAGCCTCCTGGGAATGCGGAAAGCTCTCTGGGGCCTCCTGGGGCTCCCAGGGGGGATATGTAACATGTGGTCTTCTGGGCCCCCAGGCTGGACCACCTCTTGCGCGGCATCTGGGAGCTCAGAGTTGCGAGAATGTCTTGTGCGAAACGGGCCGGACCAGCGCAGGCATCTCGAGCAGAGTTGCAAGGATGTCTCAGGCGAGACGGGCCGGTGTCTCGGGCGAAACGCGCTGCGAGGAAGTCTCTGGCGACACGGGCGGACTACCTCGAGTGCGGCGTCTCAGAGCTCCGAGTTGCGGGGGCCTCCTGGGTCCTCCTGGGGCCTCCTGGGGACCTCCTGGGGCTTCCTCCTGGGCCTCCTGTGGCCTCCTGGACCCTACCTGGGGCTTCCTGAAGCCTCTTGGGGCTCCCAGGGGGGGATATCTAACCTGTGGCCGTCGGGGCCTCTCAAAATGGAGGGGGGGGCACAAGAGCAGGAAAAATCAACGAATCGGCACCGGATGTGTATTAACTGGACAAGTTCTGATAGGGGGGCCTCCTGGGAGCCTCCTGGGAATCTCCTGCGAGCCCCTGGGGTCTGTCCTGGGCGTCCTGCGGCTCCTGAAGCTCTCTGGGGCCTCCTGGGGCTCCCAGGGTCCCAGGGAGGATATGTAACATGTGGTCTTCTGGGCCCCCAGGCTGGACCACCTCTTGCGCGGCATCTGGGAGCTCAGAGTTGCGAGAATGTCTTGTGCGAAACAGGCTGGACCACCTTGCGCACGGCATCTCAGAGCTCAGAGTTGCGAGGATGTCTCAGGCGAGACGGGCCGGACCACCTCGCGCAGGGCATCTCAGAGCTCAGAAGTTCGAGGATGTCTCAGGCGGGCTCCCAGGGTCCCAAGGAGGATATGTAACATGTGGTCTTCTGGGCCCCCAGGCTGGACCACCTCTTGCGCGGCATCTGGGAGCTCAGAGTTGCGAGAATGTCTTGTGCGAAACAGGCCGGACCACCTTGCGCACGGCATCTCAGAGCTCAGAGTTGCGAGGGTATCTCAGGCGAAACGGGCCGGACCACCTCTTGCGCGGCATCTACGAGGTCAAAGTTTCGAGGATGTCTCAGGCGAAACGGGCCGGACGACCTCGCGCATGGCATCTCAGAGCTCAGAGTTTCGAGGATGTCTCAGGCGAAACGGCCTGGACCACCTCTCGCACGGCACCTCGGGGATCAGAGTTTCGAGGATGTCTCAAGCGAAACGGCCCGGACCACCTCTCGCGCGGCGTCCCGGAGCGCAACTTTTAGAGGATGTGTCAGGCGAAACGGCCAATCCCGGCCAACTCAGAAACGAGAGTTGTGAGGATGTCTCAAGCGAAACGGCCCAGACCATCAAATTTGTGTGAGGATGTCTCTGCTCCGACTTCCCTCGGCCGGAGTTAGCTTCTATCACAACAGCACCCCGTTCAGCAAGCTGTTTGGGGGAAAAAAATGTGAGGAGATCATATCGGAACGTGCAATCTTCAGCTGCAGCAGTCCTTTGGGAGAGTTGCAGACCGAACAGGTTGTCGATTTCCACAGCGCGCTGGCCCCTCCCTCTCTTCGAGATGCCAAGACAGTCTTCCCTGCAGCTATCAGCGCCCCTTGGGCAGCGTCGCTGTGGAGGCTGAAGATGCGGCCGAAATTGTACCCCCTCCTGGCAACAGTATCGCGGCGACAATTGGGAGTGCTGCAGACTGCGCGGCCGCGTTCGGAGTCTTTCCTCACAATATTGAGTTCGCATCGGAACGTGCAGCCTTCAGCTGCAGCAGTTCTCTGGGAGAGCTACATACCGAACAGGTGGTCGTCTGCCACAGCGCGTCGGTCCCCCCCTCCTGGAGATAGGCAGACCAACGTTCCTACAACTCCTCACTCCTATCAGCGTCCCGTGGGCAGGGCCTTGGTGGAGGCCGAGGATGCGCCCGATAGCGCGCCCACTCCTGGCAACAGCATCGCGGCGACAGTTGGGGGCGTTGCAGAAGGCGTGCCAGCGTTCGGAGGCCTTCCTGACAAATTTGAAAGTCAGGTGATCATATCGGAACGTGCAGCCTGCAGCTGCAGCAGTCCTCTGGGAGAGCTACAGACTGAACAAGTGCTCGTCTCCCACCTGAAGACAACCAACCAAGCGTTCCCACAGCTCCTCACTCCTATCAGCGTCCCGTGGGCACTCTCGCTGTAGAAGCTAAGGATGCGACCGAAATTGTGCCCCCTCCTGGCAACAGGATCGTGGGGGCAGCTGGGAGTGCTGCAGAGGGCGCGCCCGCGTTCGGTGACGTTTCTCACAAAATAAATAGTCAGGAAATCATATCGGAACGTGCAATCTTCAGCTGCAGCAGTTATCTGGGAGAGTTACAGACTGAACAGGTTGTCGATTTCCACAGCGCGCTGGCCCCTCCCTCTTTTCGAGCCCCGCAGCTCCTCACTCCTATCAGCGCCCCTTGGGCAGCGTCGTTGTAGAGGCGGAAGATGCGGCCGAAATTGCGCCCCCTACTGGCAACATAATCGTGGGGACAGTTGGGAGTGTCGCAGAGGGCGCGGCCGCGTTCGGAGACATTCCTGAGAATATTGAGTTCGTATCGGAACGTGCAGCCTTCAGCTGCAGCAGCCCTCTGTGGGAGCTACAAGCCGAACAGGTGGTCGTCTGTCACAGCGAGTCGGTCACCCCCTCCCCCCTGGAGATAGGCAAACCAACGTTCCTACAACTCCTAACTCCTATCAGCGCCCCGTGGGCAGGGCCTTGGTGGAGGCCGAGGATGCGCCCGATAGCGAGCCCACTCCTGGCAACAACATCGCGGCGACAGTTGGGGGCGCTGCTGAGGGGGCGCCCGCGTTCGGACACCTTCCTCACAAAATAGATAGTCAGGAGATCATATCGGAACGTGCAGCCTTCAGCTGCAGCAGTCCTCTGGGAGAGCTACAGGCTGAACAGGCTGAACATGCCCAGGCAGCGCAGCGGTCTGCCGAGGACCCTCCAGCTCACGAGGGCGACACCGAGGCTCGCGAGCAGGGCGCCCCCCGCAAAGCCGAGCCGATGTTTCAACGCCCCTGCCGGCTCGCTGCGGGTAGGTTCCACCTAGGTAGGGGTACAAGGAATGCGCAGATGGAGGACGGGAGTGATGTCCAGACGCTGGCCCTGGACGCGCTGTGAGAAGTCTCGAGTATCTGGCGGCCCTCGTTTCTGCAGCCCGTGCGGACCAACAAGGACTCTGGACAAAAAGTCCGCATCATTATCTTGACCTTTGGCTCCTCTGTACCTGGGAAAACGTACTGGCCACGCCCGTCCTGGCGCAAGGATCTGTGAACGCCCTCTCCTGACTCGGCCACGGAGGCACATACTGGAGGTCTTTCAGATGGGGTCAGAGTGGATGGTGGCGAAGGACCGGGCCGCGTCGCCAATGCATCGCCGATGCATCGGCGACGTTGGGATGGAGAACATCGGGCTGCTGCAAATCGAGCCGCATCTCCGATGTACGGCAAAGCCCTGGCCCGATTTTGGAGGCCTGGACATGCGCAGACCCAGAGCCCAAGATTGGTCTGGCCAAGATCAGTGCATACGGTTTTCGCCGCCAGGCCACCGTCACTAGCGTCTCGCTGTCGCGGCTGCCGCTCAACAGCGTCTCCTCTTCTTGCCCCATTGTGCCACGCACCCACGGGCGGTATCAACTACCTGTGCGCGGACTGCACATGCTGAGCTTGATGCAGAACGACGGCGGCTGAGTGCAAGTCGGGGGGGCGGCCGCGCTGCCGCGCTGGTGAGCCCATTCGCGTTTGCCGCGCTGGTGAGCCCGGGGGGGCGGCCGCCGGCCGCGGCAGCATCCAGGCGGCGCTGGGCCGCAGCACGCGTTTGTCGGCGCCGCCGCGCCGCCGCAGTCTCCATCGCCCATGACCGAGCCCAGAACCTGAGCAGGGGCGGGCTCGAGCCGAGACGACTTGAGCCAAGGCTACGGAGACGACGATAAGACGATGCGCTACGCGAAGCGTGCAGATCCTTGACACCCCCGCCAGTAAACACATCATCGCGGAAAAGTCTCAAAACGAATGAAGATATGAAAGAAAGCACGTTTGACACGAGCACCACATAGTGAGACCATGCAACAGAAACGCGCACGATCAAAATCAAAAAAGGGTTCTGGGATGAGGGATTTTGGGTAGAGTCCTTGCCAGTGTACCTTGGGGTCCTCAACCCGAGACACCTGATGTGCTGAATGTATTCATACCCTCGCTTGTCAGAATGGATGCTTGAGCTTGCTCGCAAGGTCAACGTGCACCGCTGATCTTGCTGGGTACGGCGGCGGTGGGCACGGACGGAACCTTCAGACAAGTTGAGGCACTCCTCGTGGTGGCGTTTCCACATATTATACAGATCACAGCGGCGCTTGGAGAAACGAAAAGTTGGTGGCCTCGGCCTGGGGCTGGAGGCACCACGCTAGATACGGGAACCGGCTGATCTGGTGTTGTTTGATCTCTATTGGTGACGCTTCTGGCCTTAGTGCCGAGACCCCGTTGTCGCTGAGGGAGATACTCCGAGGGAGGTTCAGTAGAGAGAGGGTTCTCGCAGCAGTTCGCCTCGGCTGCCCGAGACTGCGAAGATTGTCAGCGGCAGGTTCGCTCGACGGGCTCGCAAATTTGATAGCTGTGCGGGACGCGGTTGGGACACTGGGGCCTCCTCGAGGTGAGGCGACAATGGCAGTTCTCGCTGCATCTTGCCCATTCGCAGCAGCAGACGGCACGGGTTCACGCTCATTCGGGTCGCCGCTTTTGCACGTGTTTGATGTTGCAGGATTGTTTGGCCAACCGCAACCGTGTCACATATGTATGAATTGCCTTGGCACACAAACATTCACACACAGACACACACACACAACACACACACACACACGCGCACACACACACACACTTCGCACCTCCAGCCACGCATGTAAGGTAATAGTGTGTGTAACATACTCGCTTGGCCCTTGCTACAGCCTTCGCCGTAGGAGTGACCCTCCTTTTTGTCGGCGGCGCTGCTGGGTTATCAAGGAAGGCCAAAACAGGCTGCACCTGCCACCTTATGTTCTCCCTGACGGCCAGCAATTCTCGCATCATTTGGATCACACCTTCCTTTTGACTGCATGAAAGTCCCGACCTTGCCAGGCAGCGTAGTCAGCCCACCAATTGCCTCGTGCATGTACGCTGTCACCCGTCTGGTGCCCTGGAACGTGCTGAATAGCCAGAGAGAGAGAGATAACAAAAAAAAAAGAAAGAGAGGGAGGGAGAGAGGGAGGGGAGGAGGGGGGAGAAAGAGATACACATATATATATAGAGAGAGAGAGAGAGAGAGAGAAAGAGATAGACAGAGATAGAGAGAGAGAGAGAGAGAGCGAGAGACCATCCCAGCCCCGCCCGAATATGATGAGATAATGCCCTCCCTAGTTTTCGGTACCCTCTAGGATGCGTCCTGCGTTGTCTGGTGAACGGGCTTCAGAAGTTTCGTCTTACCCCGCCCTCCACAGCCCCCCCTATTTTGGTTTTGCAATCGTTGGGATAATTCATTCCCGCATCCATCGCGGCTCTACACTTACTGTGTGGGATCGTTCATTCTGACATTAGTTGGGTCGCTCGACATGGGATGCATTCCACAGGGAATCCTCAGTCGATCGATGAGGGAGGAACGCTGCAGCAGGCTGCGTGGGAGTGCTGGCACCCGCGGCTGCGGGAAGCGCGGCCGGCTGCGCGCCCACGGGACCCTCTGCAGAATCAGCTGTGCTGGCCCGCGGGCCTCAGTTCCAGGCAAGCAGCAGACGCCCGCGTTCTCGACTGGGGCGATCAGATCGGCCGGGCCCTCTAGGAAATTTGGCACAGGGAGGGGGTCCCGTTCACCATCAACCTCCCCTCCCTCCTCCGGGACAACGTTGGTTTCCTCGTAGGAAGCCGTGCTCCTGACTTCTGAGCGTGTTCGTCTCGACGGACGTGTTCTTCGACCATTCGCGAGTCGGTCGACGACAGTCAACTTTGGCAGTATTTCAAAGAGCACCCTCTTGCGGTTTGTGTGGATGCCGTCATTGCAGCGGTTCCATTTGCAGCTGGCCTGAGCGGACGGACAACACCTCGTGCATCTTGTTGGCCAACAGTAGTTCGAAGGCGTTTTGGAACGTAGCCAGACTTGTTGCAGATCAGGATGCCCTCTCCAGGGAAATCCTTCACTGACATTGATATAATTCTAATACACATATAGAAATATAGATGTTGTGATTGCTGGAATCTTGCAAGACACCCGTGAGCCGTTGGTTCAATCTCAAGCTGCTCGGGCTCGGGCGGCTGACACACAGTGTATCCCCAATGATCGACATGCACCCCTTTCCTGGAAAGCGGCATGCAGTTGTGGCACATCCAGCAGTTTCATCTGACAGTCTATTCGAGGTCGGCCTTGCCCACGGGTGTCTTGCGAGCAGGACACTAAAGCCAGCGCGCGAGCTTCCAAGCAAGCCAAGGTGCGGACCCTAATGGGCGGGTCGGGCGGGCGGGCCCTAACGGACGGATCGGGCGTGCGGACCTGAACAGGTTGGTCGGGCGAAAATTCACGGGTGGGTGGGCAGGCGGGCCCCAACGGGCGGGCGGGGCTTCGAAGCGAAATGCGACAATTGCGAAGAAGCCGCAGGTGAGGGCACGGTTCTTGAGCCAGTTGTGAGCAAGTCTTTTGCGAGAGCATGATTCCTAGACGTCGAGAGCGCAGCGCCTAAGTCATTTATGAGGAGGTGCCGAACGACAGCACGATTCAGGGTAAATTGCGAGGAAGTCTCGAGCAAAAGTGCGGTCCCTTGTAATCTGCAAGGAATCATCAGGCGGGAGCCATCGTTGTGGTGTTCCGGGGGTCAGGGTGGCAGTTCGATTTTTTGATCGACGGACAGGGTGCGAGCCCAGGGGGGGGGGGCACTTCAATTGGGCGCTGGACGGATAAGGATCAACGTCGACGACGACGACGACCCATTTCCTCCGACGTCGCATTTCGCCGCGATGTGTGCCCCTGGGCACAGATCATTGGGAACGCGTGTCAGCCACACCGAGGGCGTGCAGTCTGTGCCGGTCCTCACTGCACCGCCTGCGTCGTACCGCGGGGCCTCGGCGGACAGACACAGGCTGGCGCCGACGCGCAATCTGATTTGGCCGCCGAGGCAACGGCGGCGTTGATCCGCAGCACATAGCGGCGGCCTGGGTTCCTACCTCCGCCGCCTCTCTTCCCTCTCTCCCTTCCTTTAGGATGTAGCTCCTGGGATGTCGAATTCAGTATCAGCCCGTGGCCGAAAACCTGCCCAATCTGGCACAACCTGGCTTGATCCCGCGTAATCTCTGGCAGGGTGGCTTAACCAGCTCCGGGCTGGACTCGGTTTCATCCGGCTCGAATCGATTGGGCCCAAGCGCCCTAAGTCGCTGACGAGAGTTGCGAAGACCTCCCAGAAGTTGCTTCCGAACCTCCTCGTCCTCCCACGCGTCTCTTCCTGCGAGCAGCGCAGACCGCGAAGATCATCGGATGTATCGTTGAGCCCTCAGCCAGCGGCTTCGGCCCGCCGCACCGCCGCCGCGAGGAGCGGCTGGGGCCAGCCGATGGCCGCCGCCGTGCCGCGCAGACGGCGAGGCGCGCACGGGGCTCCACCTCGCGGGGCGGCCCTCCCGGTCCTCCTCCGCGCCCTCTTCTCCTCCTGGATGTCCGTTTTCCGGGACTTTCTTCGGGCCCACCTGGCGGACCTGTGCGGTTCAAGTTCCTCTCGAGTTCGACCCTTGCTGCTCGGGTAGTTGCTGCGCTGATTGTGTTACCTGCCGCAGCCCGGCCCCTCGGTCCCCGCGACGACGGTCGCACGCCCGCGCCCGCCAGCGAGGCCGCGCGCCGCTGGGGCCGCGAGCCCTCGCCGCGCTCGTGGCGGGCGCCTCGGCGCTGCTCGTCGCGGCGGCCTTTGCGAACCCAGGCTGCCCGCCGCGACCGACGACGACGACGACGACGACGACGACGACGACGACGACGGCGACGACGACGACGACGACGACGACGACAACAGGACGACAACAGACGACGACGACGACGACGACGACGACGACGACGACGACGACGACGACGACGACGACGACGACGACGACGACTACGACGAGGAGGGCGACGGCGAGGGCGACCTGGCCGACCCGGACGACCCGGGCGGCCCGCCGCCAGCCCAGCGCCAGGTAGATTGGGCCTCGGCGCTATGGCGCGCACGCAGTTTCTTGTATTTGCGAATTGCACTATATACAGATGATACTGATACAATGTGCCTTGATCTCTGGTGCGCGATCGGGACTGGGTCTGGAGCGCCCGAGGAGGGCCCCTGGCGGCCGTAGAGTGCCCCAGGAGGACCTGCCAAGAGCGCTTCAAGTGGCCGTTCGGGCGATCCATTGGGACCCGAGTCGCCGAGCCATCGTTTCAAGATGCTCCAGATGGCCTCCAGTCGGCCCGAGAGGCTTCTAAGACGGCCGCCACAGGCCTCCAAGGGCCCTCCCAAGGGAGCTCCGCGAGGCATACATCGCCCCATACAGTTGGGGAAACGTACATCTTTAGCACCTGCTATTTTTCGGCCCTCACGGTGTCCAAGACGGCCCAAGATGCTTCCCAGATCCCCCCCAAGACGACCCAAGACGCCCCCAAGAGAGCACCGAGACGCCACAAGAGTGTCCCAAGACGGCCCAGGAAGCGCCCAAGACGGCCAAAGGGGTCCTTCAGAGAGCCCCCAGAGGGGTCCAAGATGGGGAACTCGAATTGAGATTTCGAGCCCTCCGCAGGGGGGCCCCGAGACCGCCAGCGGGCCCCCATGAGGCCTCAAGAGACCCAAAAGAGACCCCAGAACGGCCTCCACGAGGCCCCACGACAGAGCTCTGACCTCGCATCTCACAAACGACCGCGCGCCATGGCCGTCCCAGCTGGATCGCATACCGAAGCGAGAAACCAAATAGTACGATGAGGGTGAGAAAGTCAATCTGTATCTGCAAACAGACATGCGCATACATGTCTCGGTGTACACATCTACCTGGGGAAGGACATCGAAACCTAGAAACCACGGCCCCAAACGCCCAATCTGAGTCCCCCTCCTTGGGGCCTCCTGGGCCGCTCCCCGGCCGCTCAAGACAGCCACCTGGGCGCCTCGTGGGCCGTCTTCGCATTTTCTTGGGCAACTGTGATGCCTCATCGGGGGGCCTACGTGGCCGTCTTGGGGCGATCTTAGCGGAGCAGATGGGCCTTACTTGACGCTGTGAAGACCGACATGGTGACTGTGATAAGCATGCATGCTTTCCTCCGGGAGTGGAACGATTCAGACCTCTTGGAGCCTTCTTGGGGGCCCCTCGAAGCTCTTTCGGATCGTCTTGGAGACCTCAGGAGCCGCCGCGAGGTTCTAGTGAGCGGTCCTGGGGCGCCTTTGGAGCGCTTTGGGGCGCTCTTGGTAGCTTCTTGGGCAGTCTGGAAGCCATCGTGGACGCTCTTGGAGCGCCCCAGGGAGGAACCGTCGCGTTGGGGTCGTGGGACCCCAGGGGCAGGAATATTGCCGCAATACTAGGTTCGCATCCGCTGTCACGCAAACGACAGTGAACCTTCTTCGGGAGTGGCGTGCGGGCGTGAGACGTTCGTCGAAATTGCGTGCACGATGTTTCGGGCGAAGGCTTGCGCACTCTAATTGGCGTGCGAGCGCGCGGGGCCCACCATAGCTTGCTTTACCAGGGATCCTGCCTTCGGGAGTGCCATCCCATACTTTCGGGTAGCAGGCCACCCAGAATATCTGAGAGCGCAGCTGGGCCAGGCTAGCGCAACGTGTTCTAGGCTTACGGGGTCCGTGTGCATGCAGAGGTGTAGAACCCAACGAGGTGGAACATTGAGCAACCCTGTGGTTCCGAGGCCTGGTTGCAGAGTTCAGCAGAGTTGGCAGTCGCCCACTGGCTGTGTTTTCGCATCATTGCAGGATTGCAGACGGCGCATATGGGTCGACAAGAGCGCAGCTGCTCAGTTGCCGAAGCCTGAGGCGCGCATCATGCCCTTGCAGAAGGGAAGCTGCCGGATTTTACGGCACCGTTCTCCGCCAGTGCTTGCCACCGTTCTTCGCAAACCTCATCAGATCAGCGGTGTGCGCACCGTGCTGAGCCAGGGTGATGAGGCTTCGGGCCAGCGTGAGCTCGGCTGGCAACGCATCTCCGTCGAGTTCTTGGCCACGCGTGCGGCGGCGGCTGTTTGCCCAGCGGAGGAGTGACCAGCGTAGGCGCGGGTCTGACGATCGCGTGGATCACCTCTGGAAGCCGCACCCCGTCTGCCTGGCGAGGTCGTGGTGTCGAGTTGGAAGGCACTCAGAGGGCCCCGAGCACGGTCAGCGAGGTAGGACCCCATCGCGCGTCGTAAGGACCCCATGATCTCTTCTGAATCGGCGGAGCCGCATTGTCACGATTTGCGCCGAGCTCCCATTCTGGCCTGGCCCCTCTTTCCGCCATCTCCAGCACCAGCGAACCATCAGGGGTGCATGGCTGGTCCCGCGCTGGGGTCTCGCACCTTCTGTGGATGGGCCGCACGGTCGAGATTTGTTCCACCCTTTGGGGCTCGCGCAAGGCCTCGTGGACAACCACAGCTTCACCGCCGAGGTGCACCGCGAAATCAGCGTCCGTTGTTTGAGGCACGCTCGCTCCCCAGGCCTCCGACGTCTTGATGCCTTCACGACCTGGGCCCCCAGAGCTCTCGACCCCATCCCCAGAGCTGGCTCTTAGCCGCGGGTCGATCTCTGCGTGGCCCCCGGGCGTTTGAGGGCGGCTCCGAGGAGCCTAGAATTGGGAATGGGATTCCCGTCGCGATTCTACCGCGCTCGCCGTCGACTTTGGGCCCCGCGTCTTCCGGCTGCGCCGCCACTGCCGCGCCAACGCCGTTGTCACTGCTGCCGCTGGCGCCGTCGTCGTAGCCGCCGCCGCCGCCGCCGTCGTCGCCTCCGTCGCCGGCGCCGCCGTCGTCAGTCGCCGTCATAGTCGCCGTCGTCGCCGTCATCGCAGTCGCCGCCCTCGTCGTCGCCGACGCCGCCGTCGCCCTGGCCGCCCCATTCTAGCCAGGCGCGCCCGCGCCCGCGCGCAGCTCCTTGGCACGGAGGCGGAGTTCCACGGGCTCGTCCGAGCTGAGAGGCCGGTAGCCCTTCAGACCCCGCTGTGGCGACGTCGCTGCCGACGACGCTCGTGTTGACGACATTGCCGCCGCCGCTGACGTTGGTAATGGCGACGGGGTCCACGATGGCGGGGCGGGCGGCGCGAAGCTGCTGCGCCATTGCCCCCTCGTCGTCGGAGGAGGAGGAGGAGGAGGAGGAGGAGTCGGAGGAGGAGGAGGAGGAGCGAGGAGGGGGAGGATGATCGAGGAAGGCGGGGGAACCAGATTGGCGGAGGTGACGGCGAGCGGGCTGTTCGGCGCCTCGGATGGGGCGGCCGCCCCTGCCCCCGCTATGTCCGCGCGGGGCCGCGCTGCTCCTTCGAGGACCCTGTTCTCCGACGATGTGACTTCTTCATTGGCGGCGGGTTTTCCGTGGCTTCGGCTTCATGGGGCCAGATGACGGTGGGGGCGTCGGTTAATAAATGTTTAATAAATGTGTCAAGGAGGCTTCAGACCTTGGGGATTCCCTGTCTGCTGAGGGCGGCGGTATCCATGGCACCATCTCAACCGGTGTTCCACCAGCTTCCAGGCCCTGCATCCTTACCCAGTAGTCGCTTGTCCAATATCCTCACCTTATCGGGCACCCGGGCCATCGAAAAAAGATCTGCGACAAACTACCCCCCAAGTGAAGGGATCGGGACAATTGGGGCCACGCGTTGAAAAACACATCGTCGGATGTCTGGACAGGGGCTGTGCGCACAGAGTGGCGGTGCGTCGCAAAGGGCACCTGGAAGAAGCCAAGCTCCGAGGAGGAAAGCGCTTCCAGAGAAGCCCTGCCCTGCCCTCCTTTCCGCCTTTTTGGGTCTCCTGGGGAGCCCTTGCCGCCACGGCTGGATTCGTTCCGAAATCTTGACTAGAACGCAGCAGCCCTGGAGAGGACTTTGGAGTCTCGGTGCGTGTGGGTGTCGTTGTGTCCCCGCGATAAGATTGCTTATGCAGTTTATGTAGTTTTTTGTTGTTAGAACCTCGTCTTGTGCGGAGTCGACCCGCGAGATTCAGGGGCAGCGGTACGGAGGATTGAGGCCCAGGGGGAGGGGAAGCATCGACCCCAGTCATCGCCAATCGGGGCCTTGGTGCTCCAACCTGTCCAGGCACTACCTGCCTGGCTTCTCCATCGGCGCAACATCGCCCGTCTATCGGCGATGTAGCACCGATTCAAGCTCGATGTTTCCCCACGTGAGCCAGTCCCCCCTCGTCGTTCCCCCTCAGTTAGGGTGCAACTCCTGGGAGGCGAACTTTAAAATCGGTGCTGGACGAAAACTTACCGAATCTGGCTCAATCCTTGTCGATACGGCAGATTTCCGCTTACTGCGGCTTGATTCAGCTTGATCCTGCTTGACCTGGCTTAATCCCGGGTCGAATCTGGTCTAATCGGGTTGAGTGGTTCCTAAATCAGGCTCTGATTCTTTCTGAAGGAGATCTCGAGCCCCCCACCGCGCCCCCCTTTGGCACTGGTGGCACCCTCTGCGTGTGGCAGGTTCGCGCCGCGTCGGCACGGCGGCGGCCGCAGTGCGGAGCCCTCGGGGCGGAACATCGCCGGTGGCCCAGAAGTCGGCCGACTTTGATGCATTGGCGCTGTCGGAGAACATCAGGATCTCGTCTGGGAAATTACCCTGCGACGTACCCAGCCAATTTGCATCGAGCGGAAAGAGACGTAGGCCAATATTGGCAGGAACAACGGCAGTGCAGGCGCGGCGATTTAACTATTGTGCAAGCTACATGGGATGCACGCGCGTTGCACTACTCACAGAGCAGCGATCGGTAGGACGAGGATTGGGGCCCCAGGCTTGAAGAAGAACGGGGGCGGGAACGACGAGCAGGAGAATGACAGAATTGTGGAGGCGGGGAGCCATCGCAGCCACCCAGGGCGGGCGAGGTCTAATCTGAGTCTGCGGCTAGAGCCCGGTATGCTGGACCCCCAGCAGCTCTCGAGAATGGCGACAGTTTCGCAGATCGCAGTCCCCAAGGGATGGCGAGACCTAATCTGACTCCCAGGGATGGCGAGATCTAATTTGAATCTGCGGCGAGTGCCCACTATGCTGGCCCTCCCAGCAGCCCTCGAAAGTGGCGAGAGTTTCACAGATCACAGACCCCCAGGGATGGCGAGGTCTAGTTGGAGGTCTGCGGAGAGAACCCACTATGCTGGCCTCCCAGCAGCCCTCGAAAGCGGCGACAGTTTCGCAGATCGCATCCCCCCAGGGCTGGCGAGGTCTAGTCTGAATACGCAGCGAGTACCTACTATGCTAGCCCCCCCAGCAGCCCTCGAACGTGGCGACAGTTTCACATATCGCAGCCCCCCAGAGATGGCGAGGTCAAATTTAAATATGCGGCGAATGCCCACTATGCTGCCACCTCAGCAGCCCTCGAACGTGGAGACTGTTTCGCAGATCGCAGCCTCCCAAGGATGGCAAGGTCTAATCAGGTTATGCGGCGAGTACCCACTATGCGGGCCCCCCAGCAGCCCTCGAAAGTGGCGACAGTTTCGCATATCGCGGCCCCCCAGGGATGGCGAGGTCTAGTTTGGTTCAGCGGCGATTGCCCCCCATGCTGGCTCCCCCAGCAGCCCTCGACAGTGGCGACGGTTTCGCAGATCGCAGCCCTCCAGGGATGGCGAGATCTAATCTGCATCTGCGACGAGTGCCCACCATGCTGGCCCGCCCAACCAGTCCTTGAAAGCGGCGACAGTTTTGTAGATCGCAGCCCCCCCAGGGATGGCGAGGTCTAGTTGGAGGTCTGCGGAGAGTACCCACTATGCTGGCCCCCCAGCAGCCCTCGAAAGTGGCAACAGTTTCGCAGATCGCAGCCCCCCAGGGATGGCGACGTCCAATCTTAGTCTGCGGCGAGTACCCACGATGGTGGCCCCGCCAGCAGCCCTCGAAAGTTGCGACAGTTTCCCAGATCACAGCCCTCCAGGGCTGACGAGGTCTAGTTTGAATTTGCGGCGAGTGCCCTCTATGCTTGCCGCCCCAGCAACCCTCGAAAGCGGTGACAGTTTCGCAGATCGCATCCCCAGGGCTGGCGAGATCCAGTCTGAATTTGCGGCGGCTGCCCACTATGCTGGCCCCCCAGCAGCCTTCGAAAGCGGCGACAGTTTGACAGATCGCAGCCCCCCAGGGATGGCGAGGTCTAATCTGCGTCTGCGGCGATTGCCCATTGTGCTGCTCCTCCAGCAGCCCTCGAACGTGGCGACGGTTTCGGAGATCGCAGCCCCCCAAGGATGGCAAGGTCGAATCTGACTCTGCGGCGAGTGCCCACTATGCTGGTTCTACCGGCAGCCCTCGAAAGTGGCGACAGTTTCACATATCGCACCCCCCTTGCGATGGCGAGGTCTAATCTGAATATGCAGCGAGTGCCCACGATGCTGCCCCCCCCCAGCAGCCCACAGTTTCGCAGATCGCAGCCCCCCAGGGATGACGAGGTGAGAGACAGGGGAGAAGGGGAGAGGGCGGGAGAGGACGGAGACCGCAATGCTTTTAGTCGACCCGAGGACCCAATGCAGGAGGGCTGGGAAAAGTGCAGCGCCTCAGTTGAATGCTGTCGCCCGTGTTGTTGGGCTCACGTGTCCAGCGTCGATGGATGCCAGCTCTGCGCGCATGGGAGCAACGCGGGCCTTCTGTATTTGTCCAATGAACTTGAGGATTTCCATGGGCCGCGCAAGGCCCGTAGGCCGCGCGAACCCTGCCAGCCCCATGAACCCCACAAGTCCCAGATAGGTCTCGTGGGCCACATAGGCGCCGCAATGCGCATGGGCCCAATGCGCCACGCGAGCCCCGCGAGCCACTCCAGTCTGCGGGTGATTTCCTGATTTGCTTCACCATAGCAATGGAGCACCCCTCCAAAGTGAACCGCTTCCCAGGCGTTATTGAAAGGGCCACTATAAGGCCGCACGACCGAGACATGGATAGAAATATGCATCTGGAGTGCTTCGCCCCTCCGCAACAATAGCGTTCAGCATGCTCTGGACATTCGACTTGATTGCGCGTTGGTAGCTGGCAGAAAATTCGGAGTAGCTGCACCGCCCCCTCAGGCCCAAGTGTCGGGAAAGGATCAAGGATGGCACGTATGCCTTGTTTCGGGGTCCAGATTTGTTAGGATCGATTTGCATCTGAAACTGTCCTGGACGATGAAGTTGCTACGGTTACGTACTGTTTTGTCTCGACATCGGATCTGAGCGCTTCGTGATGTTGGGATCGTTGTTTGGAGGGAGCGCGCTGGCTTTGAAAACAGATAATCCGGATGGGCCCGGATCTGAATACCCTCGTGTGCTACCCGCACTCGCTTCTGGGAGCGCCTCTGATTTCGAGAGCTGACGGTACTCCCGCACTCATGTCATGGAGGAATGAGATCAGCCAGTTGAGCTCGCCCGCGATTGGGTCCCCCTCTAAAGATAATGGGGAGGAAGGAGGGGGAATGAGGCGGAGGAGGGCGGGGAGGCGGGGGGGATGAGGGGGGTGGTCCGCAGAGGTCCCACGGAAGTTTCGAGAGAGGGAGGGAGGAGGAGGAGGAGGAGGAGGAGGAGGAGGAGGAGGAGAGGTAGGAGAGGGCTGCGGATGAGGTTGAGGGGGTGGAGGAGGTGCAGTGCCAAAGAACAGAAACCACATAAACATACATTGTCGGAGGTCCGCCCAGAATTCTTGGCTTGTCGGAGGTCTCGCCCAGAATTCAAACACGGAGCGCGCCCCAGGCGCGCTCCGTGCTTGAGGGAGGGGGGTCCAGCGGCGATCCAAGAAACCCGCGCGAGCCTTCGAACGTTTATGCATTTTTTTCTTCCTCCAGCAGTGGTGGGCAAGTAGAGGGAGGAGAAGAAGTCGGATCATGCTAACATCGCGTATATATATATATATAAAAATGTGTATATTTTATTCTTCTTATATCTTTACTAGCCCGGGCGGGGGGGCCGCCCCCCAAAACCAGACTCCCGGGATCTGGGGCTTTGGGACCCTCCGGACGGGCCTCGAAGCGGCCCCGGGCAACCCTTCAGACGACCCCGGAGAAACTCACGAGAGTCCGAAGACGGCCTGGCGTCCTTAAATGGGTTCCAGGCGTTCTGGCGCGCTCCCGAAACGACCCCAAAGAGCCCCAATACGGTCCACGACGGCCCCCAAGAAGCCGTCATACCCACAAAGATCGTCCCGAAACGTCCCAAGAGGCCTCCAAGAGCACTCCCAAGAAGGCCCCAAGAGTCGAAAATAATTGATTTATCTATTGGTGAATGTTGGGGTTCTCCTCTTTTCGGCTTTTTGACGCTCCAAGACGGCGGTCTTCTGGGCGTCCGAAGCCGCCTGGGAGGCTCCAAAATCGCCCCACAACCATCCGAAAGGGCTTCCAGGCAGCCCAAGAGAGCCCCAAAACGGCACAGCAGGGGTCCAAGATGGCCCTCAGAGAGCCCCATGGCGGCCCCAAATAGTCCCAAGACGCCCTCCGAAGCATTCCAAATCGTAACCCGGTCGTTCAGGGAAGCCGCGGTTGGAGGCAGGGTGGCCCGAGGAAGCCCCCAGAGGCCCCCAGAACATGCCCAGTAGGCCTCCAGGAGGCCTTAAGAAGACCTCGAACAACTTTTGTGAGGCCCCCAGAGGCTTTCCAAGGAGGAGCCTCCGCAAAAAGAGCTGAGGAAGAAGGGGAGAATGCGCAGGGTATGGCGAACATGAGGAAAAAGAAGCATGGAGGAAGGATACCATATAACAATATTGTGGCGATGCCGGAAAATGGCAACAAAGAGGCATCGCTAAATTGTCGGCTTGACCTTCTTGTTATTCCGCCTGCGCACCAAACTTCAAGGACCAAGGTGCATGGCAAGAAGCGCCACTGCAGTCTTGTGTATATATATATGTGTATATATATATATTTATATATATACAAATATATATTCCACGGCCTCGTGGGCCGTGTCCTCGTGCCGCGACCCCCTGGATACGGGGATGGATGACCTTACGGACCGTGCCCGTACGACCGCGCATTCGCGGAATATGGGCGCGGATACGGGGGTAGGTTCGCGTTTCGTGAGCGGAGGAGGAGGGGGAGGAGGAGGAGGGATGGGGATCGTTTGCTCCCGCACTGGCAGGGGACGAGGTCGTGGCTGTGTTCGGCGCCACGGGCCGCACTGGGCGCTTGGTGGTGGACGAGCTGCTCCGCGCGGGCTGCAAGGTGGCGAAAGGGACTCGACGCGCCATCGGAGCTCATGAGCTGACAACACTCGTAGAAGACACACCTGCGTTAACATAAACAAAACCAATCGGAGGTCCGCGCGGATGTTTCGGATCGGCGCTCGGCCCTCCTTGCGGCACATCCGGCGCCGCCCTCGGCGCGCTCCGTTCGCCAGGAAGGGCGGTCCAGCGCCGATCCAAGAAATCCGCTCGTAGCTCCGACAGTTTATGTTTATGCCGTTGTCTTTTCAATGCAGGTCCTCGCAAAATTCGAATTTCGAATTCTGCCAGGGCTGTAGGTGTAAGGATGCAGGATGTCAGGCACTCCCCAGCTCCACAAGATCAGCATTCGAACTTTTATATGTTCAACACTTGGATGTTTGTGAAACCGGAGCCGTAGGTGCTGGAAAGGCGGTCACGATTCGGAAGTCGCTGTGAATGAACTCCGAGGACGAGGATAGTTTTGTTGTTGTTGACAGGCTTGGCCTTTCTGGGGTCTCTGGAGGCCTCTGGAGACCTCCGGGAACGTGTCAAGCTGCAGAAGCTGACAAGGAGGAGGACGAGGAGGAGGAGGCCGAGCAACAGCAGTTGCTGCGAAAGGGCATGGGAGGTGGACGACTGGGAGAGAAGTGGAAGGATGAAGATGGCAAAGGCACGAGCATTGGCGATGGCGTGGGCGGGGGAGGATGGAAGCAGGGGAGGGAGGAGGCAGGAGGGAGGAGGGATGAGGAAAGGGAGCGCTTGGAGGAGGATGCAGAAGGGACGAGTCAGAAGTGATTATGACGACGAGAGAAGGAGGCGGAGGAGGAGGTGGAGGAGGAGGGGGAGGAGGAGGAGAAGGGAGGAGGGATGATGAAGGAACGGATGATAAGAAGCAGGAGCAGGCGGAGAGGGAAGTCTTTAGCCACCGCGCTAGGGTCAATCAAAAAATGGAGAGGAGGAGGAGAAATGCTGTAAAGAAGTGTTAGAAGGAGGGGTAAGGGGCGAGGGCGAGGCAGCATGCAGGGAGGGGGGTGGAGGGAAAGAGAGAGGAGGGAGGAGGGAGCAGGGAGCAGGGAAGAGGGAGGAGGTGGCAAGAGGCGCATTCAGAAGGCATGAGGGAGAAAATGAGTGAAGGAGCAGGGAACAGTAAGAGGCAGGCGGATGCGGGGAGCTGACGCGGAGACCATGGCTGCAGGAGGAGCAGCATCAGGAGGAGGAGCAGCAGGAGGCGCATGATTCGGAGCAGGCAGAGGAGTTGGAAATTTGAGTTACTTGGAACAAAGCTGCAGATGAACGGTACAATACTGTGCATACGGCGTGCGGCGCTCGCCGTTTGTATAGGGAGCAGTTCGTTCCCTGGCCAGTTTTTGGCTGGCCCACTGTCGTCCCGCAGAGGCTTCGCATAGTTTGTTGTCGTGGGGGGAGCATGTTCCAATTCGCCCTCTCGCACATAGCCCCATCGTGATGACTCAGTCCATCAATGCAATCCTCGTTATCGCGTCGCGCCCCCTTGAAAGCCACATGCTAAACGAAGTCGTCCTCAAACCGTGCAGTTGCTTCGCAAGTGTGTACTTCGGGTGAGATGTATCGAGGAAGCCTCAAGCGAGAGCCCGTAGTCACAACGGACGCCCTCCATCTGCATAGCCTTTGTATTTTATGTGTAAAAGACGGCCTCAAGCGATAGTTCCATTGTGAAGATGAAGCGCCCTCCGTTTTTGCGAGGTTGCGCGCCAGTGCTGGGGGAGCCCCATGTTATAATCCTCCCTTCCATCCTTGTAGCCCTTGGGACGTCTGAAGACGAACATGCGTGGCGCAGAGGCGAGATCCACATGTTGAAGACCACATGCGAGTCATTCCTTGAACTGAATCTCATGTCATCTTCATGAACCGTAGGCGGTGACGGACATTTAGGCGAAACGCCTGGCCCGCCCTACCTACGCGCCTGTTGGTGCGAGCAGGGCAGGAGCTTCCCAGATTTTAGAGGCAAAGGATTGGGGAACTGGGACGAGAGAGAGAGAGAGAGAGGCTGGGGGGGGCAGATGGGGAGGGGAGGAGGAGGGGCATACCAGAGTGAGGACGTAGAGGAACGAGACGAGAGGGCAGAGTGGTGCGCGAAAATGGAAGGAGGAGGGGGAGGAGGAGAGGTAGTAGGAGGAGGAGGAGGAGGAGGAGGAGGAGGAGGAGGAGGAGGAGGGGGAGGGGGAGGAGGAGGAGGGGAGGAAGAAGAGGAGGAGCAGGGTAATCAGCAGAAATATCAGCGGTCGGAGATGAGGGAAGGTGACGAGGAAGAGGAGGAGCAGGAGCAGGAGCAACAGCTGAACTCGGAGGAATATGGGGAGATGACCGAGCCAGGATATGGAAGGGGGTTGTGGGCGGGGATTGGGATGTGTAGGGCGACTGTAGAAGGAGGATGAGGGGGTAGAGGAGGATCATGGTATGGTGGAGGTAGAAGGGAACTAAACATCGATTAGCGTTGATATAGTCATCCTCCACCGAACAGTCGTGACATCGGGTTGCTACCCCTTCGCATTGGCGAAGGTCGTGATGCTGGCGAAGGTAATGCTACGCATATTTGGTTATTGAAGACAACCGCGTTAGCACTGTGTCTGTGTTAGTTTTGACAGCGACAAGCAGTATAGTAAGGGCGGTATTGCCGAATGAGACCACTACGGTTCAATGACGCTAAGTTGGCGCAGGTTATGTTTCGGCCACTCTATCATATTCGTTTGCCCGCACGGGTTGGACTGGCGACGTCCAGAATTTGCACAGGCACGATAAAGGCGGGATGCAATTACTACCTGGCGTCTATTCGGTTTGCCTGGTTTGCAGGCGCGGCGTCAGAAGGTCAGCTTGTGTGTGAGTGAGCAGGGTCAATTGCTCACGGTTGCTATGAGGGTCTGGGACATAGAGCTTGATTTTTAAGGTTTGGGCGATAGCGGCCGTGATCGGCCGTCTCCCTCCCCCCCTCCCCAGATTACGTCATTCTATTTTGCCTGGATGTGCAAAGGTTTCCCAACAATTCTCCGAGGATTCCGCAAGGATCCTAAATGGGGTTCCTAGGAAATCGTCGTCGTCGCTGTCGTCCGCGTCTGGGAGGCCGAAAACGCGAGAACAAACACGCGAACACCTCGTCCTGGAGCCTCTGACTTCGCTCCTCGGGGGGGGGAGCGGGGGCGGTCCTGGCGTCCGTCGGGGCGTGGACCCGTTTCTCTAACCATCTTGGCTCAAGCCTGCGCCGGCGCTGAGCCGGCCGCCTCTTTCCGCGCTTCTGGTTTTGACGCCCACGGCCGCGCCCGCCTCTCACGATCACGCCCGCGCGCACGCCCACGCTCACGCCCACGGTGACGCTCGCGTGCCCACGCGAGCCTGGAGCCTCCGAAGGAAGGATCCCGATCTCTGGATGGAGGATCAGGGGGGGAGAGAACAGGAGACGAGGGAGGAGCAAGCAGGAGAAGGGAGGAGGAGGAGGAGCAGGAGGAGGAGGAGGAGGAGCAGGAACAGGAGCAGGAGCAGAAGTCCAGGAGGAGGAGTAGGAGTAAGAGGGCGAGTGTGCATATTTTGTACATTTCGTCGTCGGCGGTTTTGGGGCAATCGGGGGAGCCGTAAGGCCCCTGGAAGCCTCCGGAGGTTTCTAACCGCCCCCGGAGGCCAGCCGCGACGAGTCTCTGGTTGATTAGCCGGCCCCCGTTCACCATGCAAACACGTTGCGCTGCTCTCACGCATGCGCCGTGTTGTGGTGAATGTGGTGCTCGCTGGCACGCTGTCGTGGTCGCAGAATTTGGCGGTGCGCACAGGAGCGCTTCGGTGCTCACGGCGGCCCCCTGCCGTTATGTGATCCAGGGGACTCACGCCCGTTATCGCGTATAAAAGACAGACTCATACAGGTAAACATGTATTTGTCGAAGGTCCAGCACCATTTGGCTCAGCAGTCTGGGGTGGTAACACCGACATGGTTTGGCCCCCACTTGTGCTTAGGCGGGAGCAGGTCGAGCGCAGGGGTGCCCGTGTTCGGATGTGTTTGCAAGTGATTGGCTGTATTGCGTTCGCATTCAGTATGGGAGAGATGGACGCCACGACCAGAGGGTTTCATCATATCTTCAGGGGCTGGCCCAGCATGGCAGGCGGTATTCCTGCCAGATCAGCGGCACTGCTCAACACAACCGTTTTGGGGGGTCTGTGGCTGACCATGTGGGTTTTCATCAAAAGCGGCTTGGCCTGGCTATTGCGTGAGAGAGTCTACATTCCCCCCAGGTGGTGGCACCAGTACGTAACGCGTCGAAGGCCGCCGAAGTGCTGACGGAGGACGAGCGCCTCGTGATACTACCATCAGACGACGAGGCGACCGAGAAGAGCAGACATGGCATGAGGAGTTGGGGCATTGTGATGACGATGGCAGGTGATGTCATGGAGGGCACATACTCGGAGTTCTAGTCTTCAACATGCTGTTGCGATGGCCCTTGCGATCTCGATGTATTTTGGTAGTGTCTCCAGCGGTCTGGCCCAATTGAGAGTTTCATGTCACTCATGCTCAGGTGCAGCAGCTCTGCCGGGTCCGAGCCATGCCCAGGCTGCCGAGCGCGCGATCCGTAGAGGCCCCCGCTCAGGCAGCCATGCTTTGTATGTATTTTGGCTCGCCTGGTGGAGGCAGTGGTGAATCCCGCGCTCAAGGGAACCCGCAACTCGAGGGCGCGATGAAAACAGCGGTCCAGGAATTTACGCAGAATGCACCACCGCCATGCTTGGTCGGGGCCATCCTGAGTCTTAGGATGGTGTACGGGATCCGCGCTGGCAAAAATGCAGGACCTGGCCTCGGCCAGCAAGGTGACACGACACCATGCCAGGGCCAAGGATGCTCCTGGCCAGAAATGGTAGTGGCGTACAGGTAGCTCGTGCGTGTGGAATCGAGCGCGGGCGATTCGGGTGTCGTACACTGCCCTTGCGGCCGCCTCGAGGCCATCCGCGTGGCGTGCTCGCAGGCATCTGCCGCCGTGTGGTGCGCGGAGGGCGAGGACGTCGCGGCGGTGGGCGCAGCTCTGGCGGAGCGGCCCGGTCTCTTTTCTTCTTCGTGGACTCGTGCTACAGTTTAGGCTTTCCAAGATGGGGCAGGAGTGCGGCAGGCGCCGTTTCGACGCGGCGGAGTGGCCGGCGCGGTCCTTCAAGGTTGAAGGCTAATGGCCTGAATCACTCCAGTCTTGAACGATCTCCGATGTCGAATCGCGTCTGATCGCTCAATATGGAATTGTCTAGCAGATAACAACGTCCACGTCGACGCGGCAGGAACCTGCCGTAGGTGAGTTCGGAGAATCGCCGTGCATCGCTAGTGTATCGGCGATGCGGCGCGGTACGGAGCTAAGTTTATTGTAGTGGCCTGCGGCCAGTGCCGCCGATCCGGGGCGCTCCGGATGATGATGATCATGGTGGTGTGACGATGGTGATGGTGATGGTGAAGGAGATGTTGATGATCCCGCCCCCCCCCACCTCCCCTCCTCTCTCCTGTCCCCCTCCCGCTCTCTCCTGTCCCCCCCCCTCTCTCCTTTCCCTCCCCTCCCCTCCTGTCCCCTCCCTCCCCACTCTCTCCTGTCCCCCCCCCCCTTCTGCCCACTCCCCCTCTCTCCTGTCCCCCCCCCCTTCCCCCTCTCTCCTGTCCCCCCCCCCTCTCTCTGTCCCCCCCCCCTCTCTCCTGCTCCCCCCCCCTCTCTCCTGTCCCCCCCCCTCTCCCCCCCCCCGTCTCTCCTGTCCACAATTACTCAATATGAAAATACTCTCCCTCTTCCCCTGATGGCGGTTGGGTGATCGCCGACCCCCCCCCCCGCGTGCTGTTTTTTTACACACAGGATTCCCGGGAAACGGGTTTTCGCCTGCGTTTTTTCCAAAATGCTGCTCTCGCTGAGGCGTCGGCCTCATTTCTGCTCCCGAATCGTTCCGAATCGTGCTCCCGCTGCAGCGTGGGCCTCATTTTCGGATCGGTGTTTGGCCTCCGTCGTTCAGGATGGCGTTCTCGCCCCAGCGCGGGCCTCTTTCTCGCGCGCCCATCCGCCCGCCACCACCGCCGCACCACCACCACCACCCACCACCACCACCACAACCACCACCACACCACCACCACCACCACCACCCACCACCCACCACCACCACCCACCACCACACACCACCACACCACCACCACCACCACCACCACCACCACCACCACCACCACAACCACACACGCACGCACGCACGCACGCACGCGCACCACCACCCACTACGCACGCGCGCGCGGAGCCACAGGTCCGCTACGACACGCGTCCGCGGATAGAAAAAATCAGCGCCATGGTAAGGGATGGGAGGGAGGGGTAGGACGTCAGATATGACGCGAGCGCACCTAGCTTGCCCCCCCCCTCTCTCCTGTCCCCCCCCTCTCTCCTGTCCCCCCCCCCTCTCTACAATTACTCAATATGAAAATACTTTCCCTCTTCCCCTGATGGCGTCCGGGTGATGGCCGCGCATTCTCCGCGTACTGTTTGTTTACACACAGGATGCCCGGGAAATCCCGGGAAACGATTCTCGCTGAGGCGCCAGCGTCATTTTCGGGCCGAACGCCCCCCGCGCATTGTTTTTTTACACAGGATTCTTGGGAAACGGGTTTTCGCCTGCGTTTTTTTTTGAATGATGCTCTCGCTGAGGCGCCGGCCTCATTTCTGCTCCCGAATCGTTCCGAATCGTGCTCCCGCTGCAGCGTGGGTCTCATTTTCGGATCGGTGTTTGGCCTCCGTCGTTCAGGATGGCGTTCTCGCCCCAGCGCGGGCCTCTTTTTCGCGCGCCCATCCGCCCGCCACCACCGCGCCGCACCACCACCACCACCACCACCACCACCACCACCACCACCACCACCACCACCACCATCACAACCACCACCAGCACCAGCACCACCACCAGCACGAGCACCAGCACCACCACCACCACCACCACCACCACCACCACCACCACCACAACCACGCACACACGCACACACGCACGCACGCACGTGCACCACCACCCACTACGCACGCGCGCGCGCGGAGCCACAGGTCCGCTACGACACGCGTCCGCGGATAAAAAAATTCAGCGCCATGGTAAGGGATGGGAGGGAGGGGTAGGACGTCAGACATGACGCGAGCTCACCTAGCTTGCCTTTCCCCCCTCCCCCCCGTCTCTCCTGTCCCCCCCTCTCTGCTGTCCACCCCCTCCCCCTCTCCGCCCCCCCCTCTCTCCTGTCCCCCCCCTCTCTCCTGGGGGCTGGCAGAGGGGGGTAGGTGCCGAGCACTTTCATCCGTCAGATTACGTCCCCCCCCTCCCCCCCTCCCAAGCAGAGCTAAAGCTCATGCTGAAGCATAGCTGCAGCTTAGACTTCTTACACTCACACGCGGGATCGGCGGAGTTCATCCGAATGTCGCCGATGCACTGGCGATGCGATGTGATCCTCCGATCCTACCTGCTCCGGCCCCGTCCGGGATGCCTCTATAAGGGCGTGCGCGGTCTCTCTTGCTCGTATCTGTTGGTTGCACAGGGACTGCCTTTGGCCGGGGTGACCTGTGCCCGTGTGATCGTGGATCGTGGTGATCAGTGGATGCGTTGTCACTGATCGCGCGCGGGTGGTACACGGTGGCGTCGAACGAGCGGTCTGCTCGGAGCGTTTTTTTTGCTTGCCCCCCTGCTGGACCTGGACGGCGGGACGTGGGAGCCTGTGATGTGGACGGAAGCGGCTATTCGAACAGAGGTGAAAACGGCCCACCCAGGCCAACCCCGTCCACCAGGGCCACCCCATGCACCCAGACATACTCCGAGGTGTTTTTGCAGTCCGTGGCCCCATGAGAACCTGACCCCCTCCCTAGGTAGTTTTCTGCTGCAGATCCATTTCGGATCCCAGGACGGGCCCCAGAGGCCGAAATCGAGGAAACAAGCCAGGGCTGAACAAACCATATCGTCGGAGATTTGGGCCTCTACCACCCATCAACAGGACGAAACACCATCTCCCCGCGGGGCTCTCCGCTCGGACAACCATCCACCCGGGGCGTCCACTTGGGCAGCCTGGCCCATCACCGAGGCCCAACCAGCAGCAGGCCACCTGGGGCGTCCGCACGCCGGGGCTGATCCGGCCATCTCCCTGGGTAGCTCGCCCAGACCACGTGTAAGCTCTTCGCCCCGCACCCACTTGGGCCACTCCTAGGCCGTTCGGAGCTTGCTGGAGGGATGGCCGATGGGGGGCAGTTTGGAGGGCCCTGCGGCCAAGAGGTAGTCTCCGAGACCGTGCTTCGCTGATTGTTCCATCGCTGATTGCCCCCTCCCCATTTTCCGTTCCCGTCTTTCTTTTTCTGTGTTTGTTTGTATGTTCTTTCTCTCTCTCTTTCTCTATCTCTCTCTCTCTCTCTGTTTTTTTTGTTTCTCTCTCTCTCTCTCTCTCTCTCCCTCTCAGCTTCAATCATCTATCGAGTGACCTCCAGCCCATCCCGCCACAGTGCCCGAAGTCTCGAGGATGTTGCGTTTTGTTTGGGCGCTCGCGTTTTTGGGCTTGGGTGGTCGTTTGAAGTTAGTGATGTTCGGTGCGATTCACTCCCGCCGTCACGCGGGCGCCCCTGCGCCTACCAGCTTCCCCCGCGCAGACATGCAGATGTCCGACGATATGAATTTTCAGTCTTCGGCCCCAGAGGGAGCACCCGACCCTCTTTCCTGGGGGTAGTTTGGATTGGGTACGATAGCGGGCTCTATAGAGGGCCACGACCGAGAAAACACCGCCGGCTCAGGAAATCATATCGTCGGGTATTTGGGTAGGTAGGTGTCCACGCTGGCCTGTCACGCGTCGCCTGGCACCATACGCAGCGCAGCCATCCGAGTTGCTCGCGCCGGAGACAGCCGCTAGAGGCCGCAGGATCCATCGGACGATCTCGCCGAGGACCGTTGAAGGACCCAAAGCAACAAAGGGGGCCCATGGCCAAACACGTCATAGCTCGCCAGCCGAGCCTGTGGCCCCTCCCCGCCCTCGAGGATCTAGAACTGCTTGGTTATGTCTACGTTCAAGCCGCCACCTCATTCAGAGGCGGCTCGCTTCTGCCCTTCCGGCTGCCGATAGCAAAGATTGAGGGCTCCCCGGAGCCCCAAGGGCGGCCTTGAGGTTTGGGGGTGCCAGCAGGGCACATTTTGATTTACTGATGACGGGTGTCCGCCGCCACCAGCGCAGGCGGCGTCCTTAGTTGTGACGTCCGCGCTGGCAGCTGGGACGTCCGCGCGAGCTCGCGCGTCTCGCCTCCCTCCTCGCTCCCTTTCTTTTGTACAGGCTACCACTGGTGATGATACCAAGACGTGGTTGGATGTTGCTGAAACCCGGTCACTATGGAACCTTTGGGAAGATGATTATGTTACTTACGCCAACAGCTGGCCGGGCCCCGCCCGCCCGCGCCGCTCCTAGGGGGCCCGCCTGCGGGCGGACATGCGCGTCTCGTCTCGTCTCGTCCCCCCTTGGGCGGAGCTGCTGTGTCCACCCCCTCTGCGCAAGGCAGCCCACAGATTCCAGCCAGCCCCTTAACATCCCCTTGACCACCCCCCAAGCTCCCGACACTTCTCCTGGGGGTAGTTGTTCGCTCTGGATTCAAATTTGGTGGTCCCTGGGCCAGAAGTCGGGATCCAGATGCCAAAATCGAGGAACAACGTTCGGGTTGAAAGAGTTCTTATCGTCGGACATCTTGGTCCCCGCGCCCGCCAGGCTCTGCTGCCCACCACTGCTTGCTGCCGCGCAGCGCCTGCTGCGCGGCGTCCTCCGCGGCGCTCCGACACTGCGCCCCCTCCCCCGCTCCGGGGGGCGGGGGAGCCCCAGCAAGCAGCGTCCCGCGGCCCGCGCCCCCGCCGCGCCAGGAGCACGGGCCGCGCGAGGGCGGCCTGCCGAGGGTGGTCATGTGCTCGTCCGCGGCCGTGACGCGGCCCACGTCGGCCCGGGGCGGCCCGCAAGGGGCCGGCGCCCGGCACCCGGCCTGGGCGCGGACCGTCCCGAGGTCTGGGCGTCCGCAGTGTTTGCCGGTCTTCGGGCCCCGGGAGCATCACAAGTCGATCCAGCTTGAAGCATGCAGCTGGAAGGCAGGGCAGGTCTGGGGTCCTGATCGTGATTGCGAAGGTCCGGTGCCGTTGACCCTGCATGGCGGCGACAACCACGACCATAGTTTGGGGGCCTCATGGGAAGCTCTTGGGGGCCGCTTGGGAGCCTCGTGGGGGCCTCTTAGGGCTTCCTGGGGGTTTCTTGGGGGCCTCTTGGGGCTTCTTGGGGGGCTTCTTAGGGGCCTCTGGGCGTCTCCTGAGGGCTTCTCAAGCCGAGGGCTCGAAATGTCTGTTCGGGTCCCCTGTTTGGGCTCCCTCTTACAACCGTCTTGGGAGCCTCTTCGATTGTCTTGGAGACCTCTTGGACGGTCTTGGGGCCCTCTTGGGCCGTTTTGGGGCTCTCTTGGACCCCTCTTGGGCCGTTTTGGGGCAGTCTTGGGGGCCTCTTCGCCTCTTTTGGAGCGTCGGGAAGCTGACAAGGCGAGAATGCTGATTTTTTTTTTTAAGCTAAGGGCAATCGATGATGTTTGTTCCTTGGTGCCCTCTTTGAAGTCCTCTTGGAGGCCTCTTGGGACGTTTTGGCAACTTTTTGAGCCGTCTGGAAGCTACTTTGGCGACCTGGACCGATACTTCAGCGATTCGGGGCCCTCGAGGACCGTCTTGGGGGCATCTTGGGGCATTTTTGCTACGTCGTAGGGGCTTTTCTGGTCCCCCGAACCGCCTGGGGGGGAGTCGTATCTGGCCCGGGACTTCCCCGGGATTTGGGGTCCCGACAGTGCCCCTGGCCCGGGAGTGGGATCCATGCGGAGCCGACCCCCGCTACCTTCTCTCGTCGGGCCCAGGTTTGGAGACCACGATGCGGTCCGCCACGGTTCACGAGACGTGGCCCTCCCTGAGATCCGAAGTCGCGAACGAAAGTGAGATGTCGCGCAAAATCCATAGTTCCCATGTCTGCTGTATTTTTCGAGCCGGATCGATCTATGATGGTCCCAGGTCCCCAAACCCGGTGAACGCACGCCCGTAGCGCAGGGTAAGTTGGTCCCCAAACCACCATCTGCAGGATTTGTAATTGGGGGTCCTGAAGGAAATGGGTCTAGAGGTTTCTCCTGGGGCACTCCTCTCGAGCCTCTGAAAGATAACATCAAATCCCGGGATATAGAGAAGTGGCTCCAGGAGAAGGCCCCTCGTTCTAGACCAACAAGACTCAGTTCCTCAAGGACCCGTTCCTTTCTTGCTCAGGGGAGGTAGGGTATGAATTGAGATCCAGCTCTCCGGAGGCTTCAAATTTGGTCCGCGCCACCCTCGCCCACAGGAGAGTAGAGACACAGCACGTCGCCCACAGGAGGGCCCAAACATCCGCCCGTATGATCTCTTCTATCCACGGCCCCGGAGGTCTCGCCCGCTTCTTTCTCTGGGGGGGGGTAGTGGCGGATCCGCTTCTTATGGCCCATAGGGGGGCCCGATAGTAGCGGCGGCCCCCAAAAGAGTTCAAACCGAAGAATTAGCGCCGCAATTGAAAATCATATCCTCGGAGGTCTGATCTGGAGGCGAGGACAGGGATATATGGGAGCGGGGAGGAGAAGAGGGAGGCAGGGTTCAACCCTTCTCTTGCTCTGCTGGGTCTTCTGTTTTTTTTTGGTGGGAGGGGTGCGAAATTCCCTCGCCCCCCGCGGCCGGGCTCGCCTTCGAGACTCCCTGGGCACAAGCGGACGACCGTTTGTCGCTGTCGCTGGGGAAGCGGTCGGGACGGTCTTTTGCTTACCGAATGTCCGAAATGGATGCTGGGGCGTTGGTGGTTGAGCCATTGTGCACAAACAGTTCTAGTGAGCAAATATGAGCCCCAAGGTTCTAATCACCATTTCGTAATCTCAAACAGTGGTTAGCGGTGCGGGGATCCTGCGTGCACAGCCTGCATAAACGGCTACACGCCATGTAGATTATCAAATGGTGGCTAGGCCCGTTTGGGCATTCTCTACCCGCACAAACAGACAACCGCAACAACCATCGCAACAACCTCGAAGTCGTTCATTCCGATTGGGGCCGCAGACTGCACAAGTCAGATTGTCGGATGTCTGGGGCACGGTGGGGGCGTGCCTGTTTCGGGGCGGCGGGCGCCCCCGGAGAGGCCCACGCCGAGATGCGGGCACCGCGGGGGTGGGCCCAGCCGCACCTTCGGTCGCCCAACTCGGGCCAGAGTGGACGTCGGTGGCGTCCACGAGTGGCGTGCGTCAAGCAGTCGCGGAGCGTCCTGGCTCGCCTGTAGGCCTACCAAAGAATGTTCTAAGAACGTTTTGTGGTTTGCACGAACTGTTCTCAGAACATTTCTGGCTGGGACCGTCTTGTTTTAACACATCGGGTTGATGCTCTAAGAGCATTAGTTTTGTTCTTGGAACATTTCTGTGTTCTAAGAACATGTCGTGGTAGGCCTGTAGGAATGCCGGGAAGGTCGGTCCCTGCTCAAGTGCGTGCGGCATGGCGGGCCTCCATGTGGCGCGGGCCCCAGCCAGCTGCCCGAACACCCTGCAGAGGAGGAACGGATCCCGACAGCGCCACCCCGTCGCCACACCCAGATTCGCCCCAGAGGGCCGAGCATGCTGACATCCCTTGGGATCAGGGCGTCGCATTTTTGTTCACAGCGGGCGGTTTCGCCGTCTCGTTCTGCTCCCGCCCAGCTTCGCCGGCGCTCGCCGAAGACGAGGAGTCAACCTCTCGAATCCCTTGGAAGGCGAGGCCCGTTCTGTAGCGCCCCAGGTGGAGCGACGCACGGAAGCAGAGGATGCCTGGCGCGGCGGACATCCCCATTGTGCGGCTGAACCCGGGTGACATCTTGGGCGGGAAGAGAAAGGCTGAGGACCGGGGGAGCGGGCAAAGCCGGCAGGGAGATCAGGGGAGGGCAAGTTGAGACAACGGTAGTTGGCATTCGGGGAGGCCGCTCGTCGCCACGGTTGGACGCGGGTCGGAAGATTGGTGCGTTTTGACTTCGGGAGTGGCCCGGGATCGATTTCGAGCCGCCATTGTCTGAATTCGCCATGGTCCGAGGAGACTGAGCAGCTGGGAAGCCTACGTTTATCTGATTTGGTTTGGCCGAAAACAGTTCTGGCATGACCAGATTCCCGCTCAAACAAAAGTGGTATAGCTGGAGTTGTTGCTGGGCGCAGCTTGTAGTAGTTTGCTATATCTTCGATCACCTTCTGTAACCGGATTGGTTTCATTAGGTTCAAGCACAGGTTGTTCAATTGATTGCCTTCGGAGTGCAGGGAATGGTATGTGCATATGTGACATGCCGCAGGGCGGACATACGTTGTGGGTGCGTTTCGTTGGTCAGCTCGGTGTTAGCAGGAGGCCACTGGATATGGCCAGTGAGGCTTGGAGCTTGTGAATCTGTGCTGGTGTGACCAGGGCGCCCTGGAGAAGGAGGCAGCACGGGAACAGGGCGGTTTGGTCAGCGTCGGTGGTGGCTTGGTTTTCGCTCTATAGGCATCGAGGTACATTTGGGAATGGCAGCATAACGTCGACTTTCTGAAGGCGGGCCCTGGGATCGGGGGTTGAGTGCACGCGGAAGCCTAAGGCGGACCCGCGCGCTTGCCGAGGACCTTCTTCGGAAAAGCGGCGCATCCTACGCCATAGTGCGGCCGACTGGCCTCAAGGATGGCAGCACTGGTGGGGGCGGCAGGGCACAGCGGCGGGAGAGCACGGAAAGATGTGATGAGGCGCAGGCGGGGAGATTTTGAAGTTCAAAGGGGCGGATGGGGAGGGAGGAGGGAGGAGAGGAGAGTGTCACGATTGACGATCACATCTGTTCCTCCGAGAAAATTTGTTGGGGTGGTATGGAGGTTAATGTGTGCAGGTTTCAGTTTTCGAGTGCTCCGCGCTGGGTGACCCGCTCTATCCATGTCACGGCCTGGCAATCGAGCTTTGGGTTACATAGTTGATGGTTTTCCGCACATCCCGCCAACGTGTCTGCGTTAAGGGTCCGAGTCCTCTTGGATGCTTATTGGGGTCTCTTGTGGGGACATCTGCAGGACCGCCTTGAGGCCTTTTTTGCCCCCCTGGGGCATCTTGGGGGCCTCATGGGGGGCAGTATGAGAGCCTCTTGGAAACCGTTCGGATGCTTTTTGGGGCCGTTTGGGCCCTTCTGTGGGCATTCTAGCGGCCTCGTGGCGGTCTGGAGACGACGCTTGTCTGGTCAGTTCGGGTCCCTCCCACCCCCCTCACCGTTTTCTGCTTTCAGTTATTGTTAAGCCAGGGACTCACGAGAGGTGCCACAATTCACAGGACAAGCCCGAGAAGTTACGCAGGGAATCTCAAGCAACTCCTGTGTATAGAATGGTGTGTTGGCAGTCAACCTCCTCAAGAAGAGGAATATGGAAAGAGAAGGCGGCCTGGCCAAACTGTGCGGCCGCTTGAATTCCCAGAATTAACCAACATGTGTATGCGAGGGTTTGGTGATAGCCCCAGTTCGAAAAAAAATACGCTACCGAGGAACCCCACATACTTAATTTAAATATTATGCGTTTGCTCTTCATTATCATATCTGCGCAATCCTGCGTTCTAAACCCTCGTCGCGAATGTTGCCCTGTATTGTCATCCAACACACTACTGAGTGAACCTCCTCCCTCTTCTCCGCTTTCTATCCGTCATCGGTCACCATTTGCACAAGGTGGCTACGAATTCTTGATGACGGTTGCACTGCGTTCCCCTGCGCCATGAACGCGACAGGTCCGGATAGGAAACTTGCGTACCGATGTACCTTGAGCACCGCCGTCACGGATAGAGGCCGCGCTGAGAGACCACCACTTGCGCCCCCCCATGATGTCGAGAAGATGCCACTTCTGCTATGCCCAGGACGACCGTCACGGATAGCGGCCGCACTCGGACATCATATCACCCCCTGCGCACCCCCTATGGTGTCGTGAGAGACCACCCCCTGCGCACCCCCTATTATGGTGCCGAGAATATGCCATGCCTGCTGTGCCCTGGACGACCGTCACGGATAGCAGCCGCGATGAGAGACCACCCCTTGCGCACCCCCTTATTAAGTTGTCGAGAATATGCCATGCTTGCTGTGCCCTCGACGACCGTCACGGATAGCAGCCGCGGTGAAAGACCACCCCCTGCGCACCCCCTTATTAAGGTGTTGGGAATATGCCATGCCTGATGTGCCCTGGACGACCGTCACGGATAGCGGCCGCGGTGAGAGACCACCCCTTGCGCACCCCCTATGGTGCCGAGAATATGCCATGGCTGCTGTGCCTGGACGACCGTCACGGATAGCGGCCGCGGTGAGAGACCACCCCCTGCGCACTCCCTATGGTGTCGAGAATATGCCATGCCTGTGACGACCGTCGCGGGTAGCGGCCGCGGTGAGAGACCACCCTTTGCGCAGCGCCATGTCTGCTGTGCCCTACACGACCGTCACGGATAGCGGCCGCGGTGAGAGACCACCCTGCGCACCCATTATGGCGTCGAGAATATGCCATGTCTGCTGTGCCTTGGACGACCGTCACGCGCGGCCGCGGTGAGAGACCACCCTTTGCGCACCCTTTATGGTGTCGAGAATATGCCATGTCTGCTGTGCCCTTTATGGTGTCGAGAATATGCCATGTCTGCTGTGCCCTACACGACCGTCACGGATAGCGGCCGCGGTGAGAGACCACCCCATGCGCACCCCCTGTGGTGTCGAGAATATGCCATGCCTGCTGTGCCTTGGACGACCGTCACGCATAGAGGCCGCGGTGAGAGACCACCCTTTGCGCACCCTTTATGGTGTCGAGAATATACCATGCCTGCTGTGCCCAGGACGACCGTCACGGATAGCGGCCGCGGTGAGAGACCACCCCCTTGCGCACTCCCTATGGTGCCGAGACGTGCCATGGCTGCTATGCCCAGGACGACCGTCACGGATAGCGGCCGCGGTGAGAGACCCTCCCGTGCGCACCCCCTATGGTGTCGAGAATATGCCATGCCTGCTGTGCCCCGGGCGACCGTCACGGATAGCGGCCGCGGTGAGAGACCGCCCCCTGCGCACGCCCTCTGGTGTCGAGAATATGCAATGCCTGCTGTGCTCTGGGCGACCGTCACGGATAGCAGCCGCGGTGAGAGACCACCACCTGCGCACACCCTTTATTAAGGTGTCGAGAATATGCAATGGCTGGTGTGCCCTGGACGACCGTCACGGATAGCGGCCGCGGTGGGAGACCACCTTTTGCACACCCCTGTGGTGTCGAGAATATGCAATGCCTGCTGTGCCTTGGACGACCGTCACGCATAGAGGCCGCGGTGAGAGACGACCCCCTGCGCACCCCCGATGGTGTCGAGAATATGCCATGCCTGCTGTGCCCTGGACGACCGTCACGGATAGCGGCCGCGATGAGAGACCACCTCCTTGCGCACCCCCTTATTAAGGTGTCGAGAATATGCCATGCTTGCTGTGCCTTGGACGACCGTCACGGATAGCGGCCGCGGTGAGAGACCGCCCCCTGCGCACCCCCTTTGCCATGCCTGCTGTCCCTCTGGTGCCGAGAATATGCCATGGCTGCTGTGCCCTGGACGACCGTCACGGATAGCGGCCGCGGTGAGAAACCACCCCCTGCGCACCCCCTTATGGTGCCGAGAATATGCCATGCCTGCTGTGCCTTGGACGACCGTCACGGATAGCGGCCGCGGTGAGAGACCACCCACTGCGCACTCCCTATGGTGTCGAGAATATGCCATGCCTGCTGTGCCTTTCACGACCGTCGCGGATAGCGGCCGCGGTGAGGGACCACCCCCCTGCGCACCCTTTATGGTGTCGAGAATATGCCATGTCTGCTGTGCCCTGGACGACCGTCACGGATAGCGGCCGCGGTGAGAAACCACCCCCTGCGCACCCCCTGTGGTGTCGAGAATATGCAATGTCTGCTGTGCCCTGGACGACCGTCACGCATAGAGGCCGCGCTGAGAGACCACCCCCTGCGCACCCCCTTATTGAGGTGTTGGGAATATGCCATGCCTGATGTGCCCTGGACGACCGTCACGGATAGCGGCCGCGGTGAGAGACCACCCCCTGCGCACCCCCTATGGTGTCGAGAATATGCCATGGCTGCTGTGCCTTGGACGACCGTCACGGATAGCGGCCGCGGTGAGAGACCACCCCCTGCGCACTCCCTATGGTGTCGAGAATATGCCATGTTTCCTGTGCCTTGGACGACCGTCGCGGGTAGCGGCCGCGGTGAGAGACCACCCTTTGCGCACCCTTTATGGTGTCGAGAATATGCCATGTCTGCTGTGCCCTACACGACCGTCACGGATAGCGGCCGCGGTGAGAGACCACCCACCCCCCTGCGCACCCATTATGGCGTCGAGAATATGCCATGTCTGCTGTGCCCTGGACGACCGTCACGGATAGCGGCCGCGGTGAGAAACCACCCCTTGCGCACCCCCCATGGTGTCGAGAATATGCCATGCCTGCTGTGCCCTGGACGACCGTCACGGATAGCGGCCGCGGTGAGAAACAACCCCCTGCGCACCCCCATATGGTGTCGAGAATATGCCATGCCTGCTGTGCCCTGAACGACCGTCACGGATAGCGGCCGCGGTGAGGGACCGCCCATTGCGCACCCCCGATGGTGTCGAGAATCTGCCATGCCTGCAGTGCCCTGGACCACCGTCACGGATAGCGGCCGCGGTGGGAAACCACCCCCTGCGCACCCCCGATGGTGTCGAGAATATGCCATGCTTGGTGTGCCCTGGACGACCGTCACGGATAGCGGCCGCGGTGAGAGACCACCCCCTGCGCACCCCCATATGGTGTCGAGAATTTGCCATGCTTGCAGTGCCCTGGACGACCGTCACGGATAGTGGCAACAGTGAGAGACCACCCACTGCGCACCCCCGACGGTGTCGAGAATATGCCATGGCTGGTGTGCCCTGAACGACCGTCACGGATAGCGGCCGCGGCGAGAGACCACCCCTTGCGCACCCACTCTTGTATCGAGAACGTGCCACGCCTGCCACGCTCTCCGACCCTTGCACCCATAGAGGCCGCGCTGAGAGACCGCCCCCTGCGCACCCCCTTCTGGTGCCGAGAAAGTGCCCAGTATGGTGTACATGCGTCTTGAATGCATGATGCAGTGAACGCGCCACGCGTGTCTTACTCGCGTGCCCTGCGGCTGTATGTTGAGAAAATGCAACGCCTGTTCTGCGCCATGGCCCGCATAGAGCCTCCTGCCATGCACTGCGAATCGTACACGCACGTCTGTGATGGGGGGTACCTCATATGGGTGCCCAGTATGTTGTGCATGCGTGATGAATGTATGATGCAGTGAACGCGCCACGCGTGTCTCACTCGTGTCTCATGTACGTGCCGTCGATGTGTTGCGCGTAGGTGAATGGAGGAAGCAAGCGGAGGAGGGGAGGAGGGAGGAGGGGAGGTGTGTGTGAGAGACGCGGGTGCGACGCGGCAGGGAAGAAAACCAGAACCCCACGAAACATGTGGGGAACAAGAACACATGAGTATAGGTTGGTTCGGTGGCAGTGAGCCTCATTAAGAGGAATATGGAAAGAGAAGGAGGAGGATGCGATAGGACATGTGTGACAGAAGAACATGAGTGATTATGTGGGGGCTATCATATGTGTATATATAGATGAATTGGGGGTTGGGGTTAGGATCGAAGTTGCAC